TTTCACTGAATCAGAATAATAAAGTTTTAAGTACAGATTTTCTCGTTTCAGGTGAAGCAAAAAATGTTTTTCGTTTGCAGTTTTGGCGTAAAATCAAAGATAAAAATGTTTTTTCCTCTTGTAAACTCAATCTGGGGACATATAAAGGATGTGTCTTGAATAAATACAAGAGTTTTAAATATCTAACGCTTTTTTTGAGTCACCTTTAGCTCCGTTTGAAGTTGATATGAATACAAGCTTATTTTATATGTTAAAATAATTTGAAAACGTTACGTATACGGATTTTGGTGGATACTCAACATTGTAATGATTACAAATATTTTTAAGGTTTCTATTATAAATTAAGGAAATTATTTCTAATGTTCTCTAAATTTGTAGCATTTATTATCAATAAATTGTAAACGTAATTAATTTATTTATTTGTTTTTTTTTAATTATTGTTCCTGTACATATGTGAATTCTGTCAATTTTTATTATCGAAATGTTTGTCATTTCTGCGACCACGGGAATAAAAACTTCAGAAAATAATGAAATAACTTTTATTCGCTTCGTTGACCTTAAACGCTTTCTCATTTAAAACATTTCACAGCTCATAATTCTTACCCATCTATTTAAAAAATTTAATTAATGAAATTTTTTAAACACCACTTGACGTTTCAAGCATGCATTAATTAGTTTGACTTTTTTAGTAGACCACACGCGTGAATGACCCTGACATCGATCACTCCCGAATTTTTTTCTCTTCGCACTCGAAACGCCTTTACGAGTCTCCAGAGCGCCCTAATTTCAACCAAACTGTCCCAACGCACCTGTTGGGTGTATCGCCCATACAACCTGTTGCTCGCCCCACACCTGTCTTACGAATTTAATTTTTTTTCAGGTGCACTTATACTTCAGCGCCTTGCCCGAAGACAAAGTGCCCTACGTGAACTCGGTGGGGGAGAGGTACCGAGTGCGGCAACTTCTTCAACAACTGCCGCCCCACGACAACGAAGTTCGCTACTGTCACGCCCTCAGCGATGAAGAGAGAAAAGAATTGAGACTGTTTTCAGCGCAAAGAAAGAGGGAAGCACTGGGAAGGGGGGCCGTGAGACAACTTCCGTCGCCAATGCAATGCGACGCCGTAAGTAAACCTTTACAAACACTTTTTTGTTAAACTGAGAGTTTTAAGTGTAATTTTACAAAATTGGCAGCGGTGTCAATGCCCGAGAGATCTCAAACATAAAAAAATGTATATCGACATTTCTCATCTAAACCCCCTTAATCATCATGGAGGCAAGAAGGCCGTTAAGGGGCCTATTACTCCCTAAACCCAGCAGGAGGTTTAGCAATTTGACGTGGCCAGTAATTCCTGATTGGCGCGATTAATTAAACTTATCCTAATTTTGCGGTTCTTGCGTTCGGGGGAGAAAGCACAATAAAACTCTTTATGGTCCCACCAAACAGGCAAGAAAGCCAAATCGTGATCAAGACCCTAAACGATTATTTCACGTCTTATTTTTAATTTGTTGGCCGATCCCTCAGGTATCGTTTGTCCGAAATTGCATCAACTTTAATTAAGTTTTTCCGTCTTTAATTGTAGAAAATGCTAATTTTTCTGCTGCAGTGATAATTGAGGACGCCCGGAACAAATTGTTAATTAAAATTTTTATTTGCTCGGGACTCTCGGGTAATATTTTAAAGCGAGGCTTTTAGGACTAATGTAGTAGTTCTAATGGATCTGAATCTTCCTCAATTCGGCTCATTAATTCGAGAAAAGTTTGCCGCTTTAAGAAACTCGAAAGAAACATCATCAGCGCGACCACTTAAGACGACGGAAATTCTTAAAGCGTGACGTCGCAAGAATTTCCTTCTAATAGAGATGAGTTTTGATTTTTTCGTCGTTAATGTAATGAAGATGGCTTTAGCGTTAATCATATGCGAGTATTTATTTATTACCCTTAATGTGTAATCATTAAAGCCATTTTTGCACGATGTGAAATCGCAAAAATAAATTGATTTCCTTTCTTACTTCCTTCATAAATTCTCTCACAATTCATAAAGTGTAGTATTTTGACGTTTTATGCCCACAAACTTCGAGATAAATCAGACTGGCTTGACAAAGACCAGCAGACTTGCTTGCCGTCTGGTAATTTTCATTACCAAGGACTTTCAACTCTTGAATGAAATTCCGCAATTTTTGGCGGATGTGCAATTATGTAAATTTCGACACTCGAAAGTGCAATTATCGGCCTCGTGATTGCATGAGATGTGGTGATAAAGGCCCAAAGCTGGCCGGCTTTTGCACGAAATGGCCACACCTACACGCAGATGACTTTCGTCCCCTTTTTAGGCATTTTGCAATGTTGATGGAAAGGTTTAGTGATTACCACCGCCACCAACTTTGCAAATAAGTCCTTTAATGGACATATCACCACCCATGTGGAACTCTAAACACAAAACAGAAATCTTTTATTTATTTCCAATTCTCTACCCGCAACCCCGGAAACGTCCAACACAGCCGGAGTCCCGCCATATAACTATAGCACTAATTCACAATCCGCAACCGTCTCATTCCCTCGATCATAAATCCCGCGTTCATCCTTCTCGTGCGCCATTTGCTCCCGACAGATTTATTACCTACATGAATTCTCGCCAAGGATAAATCTGCGATTTCGCACCTGATCACAATTTTTGCGTTACAGTGCGAAGAGATGTTGGCTACTGGAGATATCTGCGTTTTCGCATCAAGAGCGGGCCCCAACACCTGCTGGCATCCCGCGTGTTTCACGTGCACGGTCTGTAGGGAACTCCTCGTCGATCTCATCTATTTCTACAAGGAGGGACGTTTATATTGCGGGAGACACCACGCCGAAACCATCAAGCCGAGGTGTTCCGCCTGTGATGAGGTAAATAACAACATTATATTGTTGGTTGCCTATGTTATGAACTCTATTTCTTGCAAATTTGATTGATAGTTCGTTTTCTCGTAATAAGTACTTTCGTTTTACGAGTTTGCCGAAAGGGACAGCTTGTCAAAAATGAATTTGTTTGTAGGTGTTTGTTCCTTTTAAATAACCTTCACATTTTTGAATCAGAAGAAAAAAAGTAGCTTTTATATCATTTTTTTCAATCCGGTTAATTAACTACTTATTCAAGCTTTAATATTATAAATTATAGATTTGTGTCAATTTAAGAGCTTCGTATTGATTTAGTAGTCAATTTCTCGATAAGGAGACATGTGTATAAGATAAATGGTTCAATATAAAACATATGCTCATCGTAAATACGCTTTGCATTTGTTGTTTAGTGGATTTTTTTGTTTTAATTGTTGCAAAATATAAATTGATAAAAAAACACGATTTTTTGATAAATGTAATATGAGTATTTTTTTTAGATAATCCTCGCCGACGAATGCACAGAGGCCGAGGGCCGTGCGTGGCACATGAAGCACTTTGCTTGCTCGGAATGCGAGCGCCAGCTCGGGGGCCAGCGTTACATAATGCGCGACGGCCGCCCCTACTGTCTCCACTGCTTTGACGCAATGTTTGCCGAATACTGCGACTCTTGTGGCGAACCAATTGGAGTCGACCAAGGCCAAATGAGTCACGAAGGCCAACACTGGCACGCCACTGAGCTGTGTTTTTGCTGCCACACGTGCCACACATCTCTGCTAGGGCGCCCTTTCTTGCCTCGAAGGGGGGCTATTTACTGCTCAATCGCATGCAGTAAAGGCGAGCCCCCTACGCCGTCGGATAGTTCTGGTCCGGGGACACGGCTACCACGTCGAAACCGGCCTCCAAGACCCCCTTCACCCGAGTCCAGTACACCTCCACCTTCTCCTAGAAAAAATAACATGTCGCCTTCATCCCCAGTTCCAAGGTCACCGAAAATGGGGCGTAGGGCTTTACAAAGGTCGCCTAAACCGGATAGGTCGACACCTACAACCCCCACGCCTTCAGATAATGGGACAAATGAGCAAGTGAACGAGGATGCGCGAGCGTTGCCGAGCCCTAGAGGGCTTGATAGGGTGCTTCTTGAACGGAATTTGGAGAGATTATTGAGTGAGAGGAATAATCAGATAAATTCTCCAGATTTGGAGAAGTTACTCCATGCACGTGACCGGAGTCGGGAGCCTCTCCATTTAGCTGATTTGAGTCTCGATGATTGGCCCAAACCTCTCGACAACCCATTAGAAATTAAAGATAATAATAGTAATACTGAGACTCCCCCTCATCATGCCGCTTCCATGCCGGAATTGGCTGTTCCGGGTTCTTCTACGACTCCGGGTTCCCCCAATAAGAAAACCCGAGGTCTCAGTGTGCGCTTCCAGGGGGATAACGAGGCTTTTGAAGCCGATGAAGGCGACTCGGCTAGTGTTGAAGCCTCCCGAAAATTCCCTCGAAGTCGAAGTTACTCTGGGAGATCACGACACATGGACACGCTGCGACCCCGGAAGACCACTTCTGAGTCGCACATGGCCGGAACGAGTAAACAGGACGATACAGAAAGTTATTGTTCGACATGCTCATCGAGCAGTTCTAGCGACGATTTGGATTATCAGTTGCCCCCACGACGTGCCTATGGAGGCGTGAGAATCTCTTATGTTCCTAACGATGCTCTTGCCTGTGCCAGAAGGAGACAAGCGAATCAGAAGTCGCCCAGAAAAGGGGCTGTTGAAGATAAGAATTGTGTCATATCTTGATCATATGCCAAAAATTCAAAAGTTTCAGTCAGGGTATGAGAAGGTGACGAAATATGCCTTGATATTGTGCTTATGACTTGTGTTCTTTTTTATAAATGTACAAATTTTTTAGCGATGTATACTTGAATTGTTTTATACGGTTTTCTATCTACAAGGTTAGGTAGAGTGTAGTTATGTATCATAATATTTATTAAGATTTTTAATATAATCACTGTTTTTATTCATTGTGTATATTGTAAATAAAAAAGATTTCGGTTTTTAATAAATGTAATAAAATTCTATCGGTGCATTATTGGGTATCTAAATAAAAAAAATGTAGAAAAAATCATTTATTAAAAATTATTATAGAAGAAATATTCATTGAACATCCTTAACTTTCTTTTTCTTCTTTTTAAGCCCTTTCTCAGATTCAGTTTTTCGTTTTCTCTTAGTCTCTTCTGTCACAGTTTCCATTTTACTAAATATATCTTCATATTCTTCATCAACTGGTTCTTCATTTCTATTTTCTTCACCAGGTCCCTGTTCTTCTTTTACTAAAGGTTTCATCAAAATTTTCGTCAAATTTTGTTTCAAATAAGCCTAAATAACATCAATTAAAACCAATTTTAAAAATGTTATTTAACTACCTTGTAAACTAATTCTTTGGTTTCCAGATTATGAAACCTTAAAAATCTGTCTAGACTTGTAGTTGCTACAAGTGGCTCCACAGGGTCACAAACAATACTTGTAACACTTCCTGTAAATGTTGTGAAGGTTTTTAAACATTTTCCTGGAGCTCTCAAGTCTAATAATTGCATGTATCCTCTTGTTGTACCCACCAGACATTGTCTACAAGTTTTTATTTACTTTTACCATAAATTATGCAAACAACTTAATTACCTCTCTCGGTAGGCAGTTGATATACAAGTATAACTCGCTTTTTTCTCTAAAAATTTTACAACAGGTCGCCTTTGTGCTCTTTCATCGTATAGCAAAACATGACCTTCTTTAGTTGCACAAGCATTTATTTTTTCGTTTTCGGGCAAACAAGTTATACCTCTAATTGACGTCGGAATTGGTAAATTTAATTCATCATGACCCAACTATAAAAACTTGTTACGAATAAAGAAATGTGGAAGAGAATACTTACTGATTTAGCCTTAAATAAACACTGTTTAGTCTCAACGTGCCACAACTTGAAATCGTTACATTCACCCCCTGTTGCTACAACCTCCTCCCGGTTCTTATTATGAAGAAATGCATCCAGAGTTCCCTTCTCGTCCAAATTAATTGAAAAATAGTCTGATTTTTTCCCACTCCAAATAGTAATTACACCATCGTGTTTTGCGATTATTATAGATTTATTTATCGGAGAAAGACCCACAATTGACCCTTCACCCTCCAATTTGGTTATGGTCTTTGTATACTTGCATTCATTTGTATTGTAAAGACTGACATGTTCATTTTTGTAACCTATGATTATTTCGTCCGCAGATCTACCCCATTCGAGAGCGGTTATCTCAGATTGTTGTTCGGGTAAAAAGTAAGATGGTTGTTCATCAGCCTTACAAAACGTTTCTGCAATAACTCGACATGTAGAAAAACGTGTAAAAGTGAGGTTTTGTTGACTCACGTTGCAAAACTCCGTGTGTGGTTCCGACATAAACATAGTATTTGTTTGAAATATCCATAATTTATTATAAACTTCTTATTTTATTGAATTTACCACTATTTATAACGAGAATTGAGGTAAAAATGCCAGTACACATAACCACGTTTTTTGGACAACTGACAGATGACAGTGACAGAAGTCATGTAAACTCTCTTAACCTCACATTTTTAATGACGAAGGTTTGTTTACATGAGTGAATTTATCGATTTTTTAAGTGTTTTATTGTTGATTCTAGTAACTGTGTAGTGAATTATGCTCAATTATCTTATATTTTTTGATTATATAAGTCAAACAGTCTAAAGTCTGAAGTTTGCATTTGTTAGGTGTCATAATAAACCGGTATTAAAAAGATTAAAAAAGTGCCAAGTGTGCAATAAACCTCATTGTGATAACACCTACGTGTGCAAAAAACACCGATTTTTCCGTTTAATATAAACCGATGTATTTCCCTTGCTTTATACTTTTCCAAAATGCGTCGTAGAGCTGATCTGATAATGGATAACGAAGACGAAACTGTCACTCTTGACGGTTCGCGGAAAATCACTCGAAACAGCATTCACAGTGTCCCTGTACTTATTTCATTTGGGCTAATTGCGGTCTTATTGGGCCTCTACGGCCTTGTATTTACAATTGATAGCAGTTTGCCCACTCCCTTGTACCTCGCAGACGAGGTAAGTGCCACCAATGTGTCTTCCAAGCCCTAAAAATCCTTTCCAGAAAAGCCACCCGGAGGCGTTCATTACTGAACGGGCCCGCCATGATTTAAAACTTTTAACCGACTTGGGTCCCCGCGTGGCTGGGGGCTACGAAAACGAAGTCCTCGCTGCAAATTTCCTTCAACGCGAGATTAACTTGATAATGCAAAAAGCTCACAAAAACCATAGAATCGAATTAGATGTTCAAGTAGTCACAGGCTCACATTATATCGGAATGAAACCACACGGAAAATTCGTCCCTTATTCAAACTTGCAAAATGTTGTCGTGAAAGTTTACGGAAAAACAAACGCGAGCGTTTTAATAAACGCACACTTTGATTCTGTTCCTACAAGCCCCGGAGGAAGCGACGATGGGATAAATTGTGCCGTCATGTTGGAAATTTTACGGAAAATAACACAAGAGCCCCAACGGCCGTTAAACAATTTGATTTTTCTCTTCAACGGGGCTGAGGAGACAGGGCTACAAGCCGCCCACGGGTTCATAACCCAGCACAAGTGGGCCAAAGACTGCAAAGTGGTGATAAATCTCGAGGCAGCAGGAGCCGGCGGGAAAATTATTTTATTCCAGACAGGGCCCCAAGCCCCCTGGTTAGTCAACCATTACAAAAAAGTGCCCCACCCGTATGGACAAGCCGCCGGCGAGGAGATTTTCCAGAGTAATTTGGTGCCGTCCGACACCGATTTCCGGATTTTCCGAGATTATGGAGGATTAGTAGGCCTGGATATGGCGTTTTTCAAACATGGCTATCGCTACCATACGAAATACGACGATTTCGAGCATATTCCACTCGGGTCGTTCCAACACGTCGGCGATAACACTTTGCATTTGGTTCGCAGTTTGGGGAATGCACCTGAAGTGGCAAATCCCAAGGATAATCCCGGAAAATCAGTCTATTTTGATTTTCTGGGATTTACGATGATTTCGTACACCCAAACTGTCGCAATTGTCGTAAACTCAATTGTGGGGATTCTCTCACTGGGAATATTTGCTTTAAGTATACAAACTTTCAAGCTGGGTGAGTGTGATTTGAATTTGAGTCAAAATTTGGGATCATTTGGCCATTTCAGGGTACAATATACAGACTGTTAAATATTTAGCGATGACTTTCGGTGCTATTATCGGAGGATGGGTTTTAGCAGGCATTTTTGTTGTTTTGTTTGCACTCTTTGTCGACAAAATCGGGTATTCCATGAGTTGGTACGCTAATCCGTGGCTGATTTTCGGACTCCATGCTGCACCAACAGTCGCACTTTCGACTGTTCTGTTGCCTTTCATCAACAAAAAGGTAAAAAAGACACAATAATAAAATTAGTAAAAATTACATTTTTAAGATAAACAATTGATTATGTATTTATTTACATTTTTTTAGAATTTAACTCATAACGTGAAAGCACAAATGCAAGTACACTCCGTACGTGTAATCTGGACTGTGATAATGATTCTTGGGACCATTTTCGAAATCAGAGCAATGTATGCATTTTTAGTGCCCGTATTGTTTAATACCCTAGGATTCATGGTGATTTATGTATTCCGATTACAACACACAGGTAATGTAACAAACTATTCTAAATAAAAAACAATTAAAAATGTTTTAGTACGAAGGTGGCAAGTCATTTATGTCATCAGTTTGGTAATCCCAACGATGTTTCTGATGTACACAACATTAACGACTTTATCACTTTTTATCCCAGTTACTGGTCGAATTGGACCTGATAAAAACGCTGACCTTCTAATCGGACTTCAAGGACTTCTATTTACAATTTTAATCACCTCTCCTTTCGTAAATAATTCACAATAAAATTTGGTTCAAATCAAAAGCAAAAATTTCAGGTTGCCCTTGCAACTCTTGTACGCAATTTCAAATACGTCCTGTATTTTCTGACAGGAATTTTTATTGTCAGTTTTATTATTATGTTAACACCACTCGGATTCCCCTATAGTGGTAATCGGGATTCACCGGCTCCTGAACGTTATTGGATATTGGTAAGTTGCAGAAAAAGTACGCATATATGACGTGGCTGGATGATTGTAGCACACACGTCGTATTTTCCACGACGAAAAAGGAATCGAAACAAAACGCGATTCTGGTTACTTTTTTCTCAACATGGATCGAAATTCGCCAGAAATCGTCAATAAGTACGTTAAAGACCTTGCAAGGGCTCGACCTTTGACCGAAGATTGTAAACAACATTTATTATGTGGTTTACCTCTAGTTCATTCAAAAATGGTTCAAATTATGTAAGACTTAAATTAAAGAAAATGAGTTTTTTTATTACTCAAATTTTTAGTGAGTTTAGTACATGGATCCCTGCTGGTCAACCAGTATTACCCGAACCAACCCAGCTCGAAGTATTATCGAAAGAAAAAATCTCGACTGATGTTTTCCGCTATGATATTCAAGTGACCGGTCCGGACCGTTTGGGTCTTTACTTTTCCCCCAAATTCGGTGTAAAAGTTTTAAATATAAGTCTTGTCGATAAAATGCCCTCAGATTCAGCAAAATGGAACGGCCGTGATTTGTATTTTATCATCCACATTTACGGCAAAGAAGCAGCCCCCTTAAGGTTTAATTTCGACGTCAGAGTTCCTCCGAACATTACCGACGCCACAACGGAAATCGCCATTTCGGGTATTTTCGTCCACGACGAGAAAAATCGAAAAGTCCCCCACTACGCCCAACTCATCAACTCATTTCCCGATTGGGCCGACGTGACCGCGTGGCTCGGCTCATATGAATCATGGTGGATTTAAAAAATGAAATGGACCAGTGAACAAATTTTATTTGATGTTAATTTAATGTATGACAATAAAATGTCGCTGAATTTTATGTAAAAGTTAAACCGAAATAAAACAGGATCGGTGTCCGGATCCAGTGACTTTGGGCTTACGTGGTTTTTATTCTGTTTGACCCTTACATACAGCATTATACTATCAAGTTTTTAGGGCGTATTTACCTAAATGGCCGAAGCACCAGAGATGATTTCTATCAGTTCTCTGGTGATTACGGCCTGTCTGGTACGGTTGAACGTTAGGGTGAGCTTATCAATCATTTCTCCGGCGTTTTTACTGGCATTGTCCATGGCCGTCATTCGGGATGACTGCTCGCTACAGGCGCCCTCCTTCATGGCGTAGTACAAAAGAGAAGCCAGTGAGAATTCCAAATAAGATTGGATCACTTCATCGTCGAGGGAGTCGTAGACCGGGAGTTTGGCAGCGGTCTGAGAAAAAACAAATTTAAATGTAGCAATCAAAAATTCAAATGCCAAAGATTATCTCAAACAGTTTTACTACCTCAAAATAATTACTAGGGAAAAAGATACATACATGCGAAATATCAGATTTGTTATCACAATTACGAAACTAATTATTAAAAGTATATTCTGCGTCATTTATCGGACAGGAACTAGCCTGGAATAACAAAAATCTCATTTTTTTACCTTAACTGCGGCCAAGCTGAAGACAGGCAGGGTCTGAGTACTGTAGGAAACGACCGACTTAAACCGATTAAATACGATTTGTCCCGACCCAAACGCATATTGCGAATTCAGGATAGCATCTGCCAATTTTGAGGCATCATTAAACGTTGGGGGCAAACGCCCAATCTCATTGCATGCCAAAATGATGTTTTTGCCATACATGCGTTGCAAGATGAGTCGCGATTTGTCCCCAACACACACGACTTTGAAATTTTGTTGGTCATTGCTCAATTCATTACGAATAAGACGAGCAACACTGGTATGGACAGCCCCACACAGACCTAAAAATTGCTGTTTTAGACTAATTTGTGTTCCGTGGAGGCTATTTTTACCTCTGTCTGAAGTGATTGCGATTAAAAGCTTCTGGGGGAGGTCCTCAGGGGCCGAAATTTCAGCCTTTTCGTAAAATTGGGAAGCTCCACTTCCAATGGGGCGCGTTTGCTTCAACTCACGCTCAGCACGGGAATATTTAGCGGCTGATACCATCTTCATTGATTGGGTGATTTTTTGGATGTTTTTGACGGACTTGAGGCGAATTGAAATGGACTTAAGGGTGGCCATACCCCTTTGTTGTTGCACATTTTGAGTGACTAAAGGCACCAAACTTCCAAAACGACCCAACATGATTGGATCTGAAAAGATTATGTAATCGGAATTTATATGCAGAAAAATCTGATAAAAATTGATAATGTTTATTATGTAATCGAAAGCAATGACATTTTAGATAGGGAAGTGAACATTAAATTAAGTTAATTACGTAAAATAGGGAAAAAAATGGAAAATTTGGTCGATGAATACTAACCTTACGACTTCACCTGGGTCAGAAAGTGCAAGAAGTGGCTAAAAAGTGTACTATTGTAGGATTTGCGATATTAGCTCTTATGACACCTGTCAATAAAGTTTATAAAAATTGGTGACGTCTAAAAGGCTAAATAGAATCAGAGGGCGCCACATTTACTTGCGTTTAAAATCCTATCGTTCTCTGATCTTATATATTTTAAGTCTTACAAAAAAGGATTTTCAGTTCTTTAAATCAAGTAAAAAAATGATGCATAACGCCAATACAGAAAATTAAAAAAATACATTACAATAATTTAAAAGTATAAAATTTGTAGTAGTTATGAGACTTATGGTATAGGACCTATGGTATAGGACTTCAAGCAGATGAGAGATATTCCCCCAAGTCTCAAATATGTCAAATTGACTCAAAACAACATAAAAATGTCCAAATTAAAACTTCTGAAACAAATTCAAGTGTTATCTCAACAAAAAGCACTATTATCCTCCTCAAGAAGCACATCTCTGCAAAACCGTCTAATATATTCATGCCAGTTATATCACCGAGTGTCACCTAACCTTAGTCTGTCAAATCCGGCGTTAATTTTTCGAAAATATTCGGATGTCTCTGACAAAAAACACATAAATGTGGGGACAATAGGACATGTCGATCACGGAAAAACCACTCTAACCGCTGCCATCACGAAGATATTGCAAAAAGACGGTCTTGCCTCCTACGTTTCTTATGACGAGATTGACAAAGCTCCTGAAGAAAAGGCTCGCGGCATTACAATTAATGCAGCTCATGTAGGCTATAGCACGAAGAAACGTCAATATGCACATACCGATTGTCCCGGCCATGCTGATTTTATCAAAAATATGATTTCTGGGGCTTCTCAAATGGATGGAGCTATTTTAGTCGTGGCGGCTACCGATGGACAGATGCCCCAAACGAGGGAACATCTGTTGCTTGCGAAGCAAGTCGGAGTGCAAAAAATCGTGGTTTTTGTGAATAAAGCAGACTTGGTGGATAATGAGGTAAGAAACTTGTTATTGGTCTTTTTAATGTTTTTGTAAATTATAGTTGTAGGTTTTGGAATTGGTTGAACTGGAAATAAGGGAGCTTTTGGATGATTTTGGGTTTGATGGTGAGAATTCTCCAGTGATTTGTGGGTCTGCTTTAAAAGCCTTAGAAGGAGAAGATTCAGAATTTGGGGAGAAAGCAATTAGAAAATTACTAGACACTCTTGATGAATTTATACCAGTGCCTGAACGTGATTTTAAGTCACCATTTATGGTTCCCATTGATAATACCTTCCTTGTTCCTGGTAGAGGGACAGTTGTTGTAGGAACTATTTATAGAGGAATTGTCAAGAAAAACGCAAGTTCTGAATTAATGGGTTTTGATACAAAAATAAAAACGACCGTAGGGGATATACAAATTTTCAAAAAAAGTGTCCCTGAAGTAAAAAAATAAATCTTTACTTCATTCTGTAATTGTTGTGAAATTTCAGGCAAAAGCTGGTGAAAATGTCGGTATTTTATTAAGAAACGTCAAACTGAAAGACATTCAAAGGGGAATGCTTTTATGTCAAACAAACAGCGTTACTTTATCAAATAGGTTTAGTGCAAGCATTTATTTCCTTGCGAAAAATGAAGGAGGTAGATCTAAGCCTGTCACGGGAAAATACATTCAACAATTATTTAGCAAAACCTGGAGTGTAGCGTGTAGAGTTGATTTAGGTTTGTTTCAAAGAGACCCTAGATTGTTATCTCATGAAATATTTGTAGCTGAAGGTGTTGAAATGATAATGCCTGGTGAACATGGACAAGTTGAACTTACACTCTTATCAAGAATGATTATGCTACCTGGGCAAACATTTACAATTAGGGAAAATAAAGTAACAGTAGCGACTGGAATTATCACTGAAACTCTTACTGAAGTTGTAATTACGAAAAATTTAGGCAAACTTGAATTAGGATAAATTAATTTAATTCTCTAATACCTAATAAATAAATTAAGTTTCTTTTTTAAGTTTTTTTTAAATTGCACTGTCAAATTGTTTAGGTGTCCCGTTTGACAGTTTTCACGTTTGTCAAATTTCTAACCTCAAAAATGGTCATAAATGCTTTAAAGCCTTTAAATCAAATTGCAACTTTTTTGAAGGTTCAGCCGGGTAAAATTACACTTAATGATGATTCTGTATGCTTTTTGTTTTAAAACATTACATTTTTTACGCAAATATGAAATTTTAGTTGCCTGTCCGTGTTGTCAATAAAAATTCAAACTTCGGTTATATTAACATAATTCTTGAATTAATAAAAGAAGGAAACACAAATTTGGAAGGCTGTTCAGATTTAGAAGAAGCTCTGATTCGGCAATGGATTGAATATGGATTTGTTTACGTGGTAAAAGCGGAAAATCCTCAACAGATCTTTAAAGTAGGTATACTTGTTTTCTTAGAAATTATTTTTATGAGTTTTTTATTTTTAGGAACTGAACGCAGTTTTGACTACAAAGACTTATTTAGTTGCTCATAAGTTAACTATTGCCGATATTTTTCTTTATTACTTTTTGCAAGACTCCATGGTAATTATTTCTTAATTGTGTAACAATTCCGTAACGAATAAGTTTTTAAGGATAAGTTATCAATTTTGGACAAAGAAAAATATTCGCACGTTTCTCGTTGGTTTGACAATTTGCAACAAGATTCTTCAATTCGCCAATCAAACAAACTCGTGAACTTCAACACACTTTATTTAGCAAGTGTAGCCCCAGCAAGGCGATAAAATAGTTATAATTCACAAAAAAAAACCTACTTTTTATGTATGCATTTATTTAATAATAAAAACAAGGCTACATATAGGGTCTGTTATTGCTGTTGTTGAAAGGAAAACGCAATTTTAAGTTATTTGCCGTAGATTAAGTAAGGAGAGTGGCCCCAGTAGTAGTAAGGGTACGCGTAGGGGTATATGTAAGCACTTTCTGATGATTTGAGGTCTTTTTCCGGACCAGCGAAGGGGGTTGCCGAAATGGGCATTGGCACAGCGAGGACGGCGGCAGCAAAGAGGATTACAACAAAGCAGAGCGTCTAAAACAAATAATCACAAACTTAATCATTTAATTAAAATAAAAACATAAAAAATTCTGTATTGTTTCTGGACTCATTTTTTTTAAATAAATTAGAAAACAAAAAAATTATTGGAAGAAATGTTATGTTTAATAAAATATATATTCTCACCATGAATCGCATGATGGCACTAATAAAACTCGAATACTTGAGAATGAATGTCGGAGTAGACAAAGAGATGACCCTTTTATAGTTTCTTAGGACATCTTTATTAGGATTGGACATGACTTGCACAGATGCATTTAAAAAATTAGAATTTAAAATGAGTCTCTCCCTTCACTCATTAGAACTGCAATAAGAAAAACGATAATTGTTTATTATTCATCAGTAGGAAGTTATTGTTTTTCAATTTATCTAGATCTCATCCATGCAAATATAGTCAACACGTATTTCTAATTTAAATTATATCAATAAAAAACGATGCGCACGTGAGATAATTAAAAATTAGTGTCAAAAATGTCTTTTCTTTGTTTTCACACAAGGCCTTTTTTCTATAACTTCCACGAACTTGTCTTTTGTCTAGTCATCAAGAGGTAGGTATTCTAAAGGAAGCGCAATTATTTGCTTTTTGTTTGTCGCTGTGTAACTAATTCATAAAATAAGAAGTCGATGAAGAAACGGTGAGCCGATGCGTGAGAGGACGGCCTTCGCTTTATCCGGATTTGCAAAAAGAAAAACTGCACAGATGCGCGACAATATCAAGGTCTTGTTCGCCATCGTAATTGTAAATGGCTGATACATATTTCATTCTTTATAACAATGCTGAATTTAACGAAAAGATGACACGACGTTTCGATTTTCCGTTTGGAGGCTCGTGCTTTGAATACGCCACCCTCAAGGTTAAAATAAACGCATTTTGCGGGAATTATTTAAATTTATTATCGAACTGTGCACACATTATCATTCAAGTTCTAAATTTAGACATTTGGACAACGACTGCGAAAACTCACAACCATCCTCGGTATCTGAAAATATTAAAATTAAACGGAATTTTAATCTTCATCGGTTGTTACCTGAAGTGGACAATCTTGCGAAACATCTGCGAGCCTCACGAAGTGCTCGGATCCGCTTCATATCATTCGATAAGTGGTCCTGCAGCCATTTAATGACCAACGTTTCGGATGGTACTCTATTATCATCCAACTAAAAAAAATTTACAATCAAAATTTCTTAATTTTTGATACTTACCACTTCCAAATAGCCGAAAACACACTGACTCACACACTGAAAAAACATTTATAACAATTATAAACGACATTTTTTTCCTACCTGTGAGTCGTCATTATCATTATTGGACCTCTTTGCTCTCAAAGTCATATCAAAATTTCTGCCATAACCACGTCTCATGTTACTATAATCGTAACCGGCATTACCACCAAACGGGCGCCATTGATTACGATAACCATGGTTATTATTACATTCGTTATGGTAACCACCGTCGCCATAGTAATAACCAGTATTTGACATTGTCCGGTTATATCTCTTCTGGTTACTTTGATTTGACTCGTTTGAGTTCTCCTCGTCACTATAGTTTTCATTATTATAACGATTACGGTTACCATTGTTACGTCTGTTGCCATTACGATTGGTGCTTTCGTTCGAGTTATTTTCGTCGTCGTCACCAGAGTAACCATTATTGCCGCGATTAGGGTTACCGTAACGGTTATAATTGTTACTCTCATTGCCATTGTAACGTTTATTTGGTCTTCTCCGGTTATTCAAATTATCGTAATTGTTACCTCTTCTCTTATTTTCTCTTCTGTTGCCATAAGAGTCATCATCATCGTAGCTGTTATCACTCTCGACACCACATTCCGACAATAGTTTATGCGTCTCTTGCTTCAAAACATTTTCCTCTTCATCTTGATTTTTTGTAGAATTATAGATCGATTTTGTGTGATTTTTTAAAACGTCGCCCAATTTATTACCATTATTTTCAAGTGTTTGGCTCAATTTCGGATAAATTTGTAGAAATAAAATGAAGCAAAGTATGTAAGGATTCATGTTGAACTAATTCGGAAAAAATTCATTGGTGGTTTTATAAATTTTCGTAAACAAAAGCTGTCACCAATTTCTAAAGCTAATTACGATAATTATTCGATGGACATTGATGTGTCCTATTATTTCATTCGGAACTCTGTAGTTAAATTAATGATGGCACATACAAGAAAGGTCATCGCGTCCTCACGATTTCGTTGAATGAAAGAAAACTTTTACTTTCGTGGTCGTGCACTTGACTTTGAATCTTGTTACCTTGAAAGAGAGAAATTAGCACTGGCGAGACTGAAATTATTTTTATTAATCTTTGGTCTGTTATTATTTTGGGGTGGGTTGATGAGATCGTGATCAAATTTTTTTGATGGACGAGTTCATTCAACTAGATTTAATGACTTGTAATTCTTCTAGAAATTCTCAGAGGAGTTCCATCGCGATTTTTTAATACATTTTATTTTATCACAGGTTTGCCTTTATCCTGTATTGATTTTAATTTTGCAATTATCATAATTTTTTTTGAGGAATGATGTAGGTAATGACCTAATGACTAACGAATTAAAATATTTACATATTAGAATGGGTTTTGTGTTAATACCTACCTAGAACCAGTTTACGGATGACCTTTCATCTTACTTTTTCAAAAAAATAATATTTTTTTGTGATACTTAAATATATTCGTACTGTCTCAAAGCTTGTTATGACAACGATAATAGCCTAAGTCGTTATATTTAACGGACGGACATTGTTACGCATGTTACTATCAAAAAACACACTGGAAAGGCTTTTTTAAAACTATTTGACATTATGATTTTCATTTCAAAATAAATCGTTTATAGTATGTATATCAGGAAAATCACTGAATGACACATGGTCGATAGGTATGCAAATAAAAGACAATCTTGTCTGTAACCTATTTGCCACATATCGGCATTATGACTAAATAACTAAGTATATTTATAAATGCAAATTGACTGATATATTCTTATTATTGGCATAAGATTATTGGATAAGAAAAAAAATATACTTTAGATATTTATACAGTTGGAGACAAAATACTTTGGTCGTTAATGTCACTTGCGTGACATTAACTTGTAAAGCATGCTTTAGGCATATATATAATAAATTATATATATGGCTTTAGGACTGTTAACCTTATTTTTAGCTACTGTCAATCCTAGTTGACAAGTTGTATGTACATATTTTTGATAGGAAAATATAATAGCTGTCATTAATTTGAAATTGTCATTCATTTTAACGTTAAACCTTGAATTACATTAGAGTGTCAGAAAAGTGACGACCAAAGTATTTTGTCTCCAACTGTACATCATAAATGTAGATATAAGAAATAATAATAACAAATAAACGCAAAAATTAAATAAATTTATGCTAAACCGCTTTGTTTTCAAAAACTTTAATGGAAATATTCGCTACTTTAACCGCAAAAGTAAAGAAAAATGAACATCTCGGAAAAACCGTGATTTATGATTGTAGATTATTTTTAATTCCTATTTTCTACAAAACAAAGAATCAAAATAATAAAAATAATAAATCAACCTATAGTCTAATTCTCTAGCACGTTATTTCATTTAGAAATAAAGTTTCTGAAGTTGAAATAGTGTTCGATATCAGTATTTACTCGTAGAAAAAAATATATAATTTTTATTTAAAATCTGTTCTTTTTTTTTAAATGGAAATGCCAAAAAGTCTTAACGTTGGCACCACTAGTAAATTCATTCATGGTAATTTTAATAAAAGAAGTTGCAGTTCCGGTTTTTTGAATTAATTTGAAAACAATGTCATTAAACGTCAACACAAAAAATCGTCTAAGAAAATTTAGAGATGAAACACCAAAAAAGAAACAAATTCGGTACTGGTAACAGTTTTTAGAAACTTGGAAACGAACAGTTTGCAAGCAGGAAGTTAGAAAAAGGGCCCGTTAAAATGTAGACGCAATTTGTAATGCAGGTTTGCTAAACATTGTTAATTTTCAGCAAGAAATTGACAAGAATACAAAATAAACATGAATGAGGAAGAACCTCGGAAAGAACAGTGTCTTGTGCATCGTTTTTGAGGAACGTTGTAAAAGTAAGAATTTTGAAACTAAAGCTGAAGAAGAATTTATAAAAATACATCAACTTTGAGCTCATTTCAATAAATTTCACAAAATTTATTGGCGTTCTTCATAAACCTTGCTTGTATCTTTTGCTAAATAACTTTTTCTGTATATACATCCTTTTTCTTCAAAGTTTTTGTAGAAAGATCCTCATTTTTGTCCACAACACTGTACTTACTTGCGGTGTGCTTCTATCAAAATTATTAGCACTGAATTCTGTCTTTAGACCTTAGGTAATGCTGTCTGTCCTCAGGTATTCATTCAATTATAGCGTTTTCAAAGAGCAAACGGGCATACAAGATTCATAAAAGTCAAAATTTTGACAACATCTCAATTTGAACACATAACCATAACTTTTTAACAAAATTTCTAGGGACAAAAACAAAGAGCAAACAAAATTTGTGACTATGGAAACAAGCTGCTACCAATTTTTTCACCAAAATTTTGACTTGGTAATTTCCATTAAAAAAAAAACAAACTTTAGCTAAACTTTAGCTTTAGTTTGTAACTTTAGCTAAAAATATTGTTAAAAAATTAATGTTGTTTTCAAATTCAGATATTGTCAAAATTGTGACTTTTATGAATCTTGTGTGCCTATTTTCTCTTTGAAAGCACTATAATTGAACACCTGAGGACAGACATCATAACCTAAGGTCTAAAGACAGAATTCAGTGCTAATAACTTTGATAGAAACACACCGCAAATAAGTACAATTTGTGGACAAAAATGAGGATCTTGCTACAAAAACTTTGAAGAAAAAGGATTATTTAGCAAAAGATACAAGTAGGTATTATGATGATTGGCAATAAATTTTGTGTAAATTATTAAAATGAGCTCAAAGTTGATGCATTTTTTAAATACTTCTTCACTTTAGTTTTAAAATTGTTACTTTTTCAACTTGTACCTCAAAAACCATGCACAATACACTAATTTAATTGCGTTCTTTCCGAGGTTCTTTCTCATTCATGTTTATTTTGTATTCTTGTCAATTTTTACTAAAAATAGCAAACCTGCATTACAAATTGCGTCTACATTTCCTGCTTGCGAACTATTCGTTTCCAAATTTCTTAAAACTGTTAGCAGTACCGAATTTGTTCCTTTTTGGTGTTTCCTCTCCAAATTTTCTTAGACGATTTTGTGTGTTGACGTTTAATGACATTGTTATCAAATTAATTCAAAAAACCAGACCTGACAACTTCTTTTATTAAAATTACCAGGAATTAATGAATTTACTAGTGATGCCAACGTTAAGACTGTTTGGCATTTCCATTAAAAAAAAAAACAACTTTATTAGTTTTTTAAAATACATTGAATAAAAGTTTTCCACGCCTCGTCCAATTTCCATAAAACTTTTGTTGCGGCAAATGTGCACACAATAACAATAATTATCGGAATTACTCATTGGAACACACTTTTTATGTAAATTGTAACAATTTCTGTCAACTTTGTCCTTACATTAAATCGAATGAAAAAATAATAGGAGTATCACTGATCTTTAAACGTACTTAAATGAAACCTGAAGCGTGCTTTCATGAATGTTCGGTCTTTCCCAAATGTGACAATATTTTAAATCAACGAAAATTTTATTCAAATTCGGAGAGCTTGCATCACTTTTATTTGTCGGTTGGTAAAGGTCCGTTGGATTTCCCCGGTCAGGCCATGTTATTGCCTTTTACAGCAAGCTTTGTCTTTGATGAAAATGCGACTAAATCATAAATCAAAAGTGACATGGGGATTTACTAAATAAATGTTGTAAAAATATTGTTTATTATTGTTAAAGACAACAACTATTTTTTTAATGTGAGGTATGTGTAAAATTATGTTGCACTTGAACTTGCTTTGCTTGGCAGAGTTCTTGCAGCATCTTCGAGGTGCATCGCTGGCCTTGACCAGACGCTATGGAAGACAGAGCACTGATCAGTCGGTCATCAGCCTTTAGGTTTCGTTATAAAAGCCTCCACTTGTAGTTTAGTTGCCAAACACTTGTAGACACATTGGTAAGATGGTGCACAAATTATCGGTAAGTCTCATTTTTTATTTTTTTTTTATTATATAAAATTTAATATTATAGATAATTGTTGCCTTTGTGGCAATTTTTTTCCTCTCCTGCTCAGCAGTTCCCATCGATGAAAAACAGCAGGAAATACAATTGCAACCCCAAGCGATTCCTGCTGAAAAACGTCTAGACACACCTGAAACTCAACCTATTGACAAAAACGAATCAGATTTGGGGCCCCCAGCTGAAGAAAAATCCGATTTAGATACGGCAAATACCTTTTGGGGATGGGGTGGTGGTTATTATAGACGGCCGTCTTATTGGGGCGGTTATGGTGGCTACGGGGGAGGGTGGCGGCGTGGGTATGGATGGGGCGGTTATGGAAGAGGGTTTGGGGGATGGGGAGGATACGGAGGAGGTTGGGGGTGGGGTGGAAACAGGTATTACTGGGGTTAGTTAGGTAAATTGTCCAGTATAATTAATTTTAAGTAACTTTGTGTATGATTGCGTGACATTTTGTAATAAATTTTTTAAAATAATATTTTTTATAATTTCATTAACCCATGACTGTATGTATCATTACAATGTAAACATTTTTATTATTCTTTCATTTTTCTACCATTTTAATATTGATGGATTCATTTATACAAGTCAAGGTATTTTGTTGTGACCTTTGTATTGAATTCCAGCATATAAGGGCACCAATTAATTACTCATAGTGTGTGCACATATAGCTATTATCGTAAACATGGATACAAAAAGTGACATACAAAATTTTTTCCGCGACCAAACAATTTTCATTACTGGTGGTACAGGTTTTATCGGAAAGGTTTTAATAGAAAAATTATTACGAGCTTGTTATGACCTTAAAAGGATTTATGTTCTTATCAGACCAAAAAAAACACAATCTTCGGAAAAAAGGTTTCAAAAACTTTTTGATATGATTGTGAGTATTGTAATTTTTTTATATCTTAATAAGGAAAAAATCAGTGTTTTGAGCGAATGAAAGAGATTCGACCAAACTTTCACGAAAAAATAGAAATGATTCAAGGTGATTGTTCCAAACTAGAATTAGGTTTATCAAGCCGAGTTCGCGAAATTTTGAAAAACGAAATTACAATTATCATAAGTGCAGCAGCAGATGTAAGATTTGATCAAAATCTGAGACATGCGGTTAACAGTAATATAAGAAATATCAAAGAGACTTTGGACTTGGCAAAAGAAGTTTTGAATTTAAAAGTAAAAACAATAATAATTACTTGTACTTGTTTAAAGTTGTAGAATTATGTCTTCAGGCAATGATTTATGTTTCTACGGCATTTTCAAATCCTATGTACGACCGTATTTCTGAAAAATTTTACGAACCTCCTATTAATGCAGAAAACTTATTTCATCTTGTTGAGTCACTAAACGACGAAACGTTGAAAGTTTTAGAGCAAAGGTACCTACCAAAAAACGCAAATTAATTTCCAAATTAATTTTTGAGGCAGTATTTTGCAGAAATGGCCCAACGTTTACACTTTTAGTAAAAGTGTAGCAGAAGATCTTATTAAAAGAGAAGGAGAAGCTTTGCCACTAGCTATAATAAGACCCTCCATCGGTAAATTTAAGTTTGAATTTTTTTTTTAATTGTTATTATTTTATAGTTGTTTCTTCGATTGAAGAACCTATGATTGGATGGACTGACAATTTGTACGGAATAACAGGTCAGACAATGGGAATACTTCTGGGTGCTATTAGGAGTATTTATTATATAAAAAAATATCCAGTGCATTGTGTTCCTTGCGATTACGTAGTAAATTCTTTGCTGGCAGCAACTTGGAATTTATCTAACCAAAAGTAAGTACGTTTAAGAAGTCATAGAAAACTAAAGAAATACAATTTTAGGTCTATAAATAATTCAATGCAAATTTACAACTGTGTTCCCGACGACTACATCTTCAATGGTACTATTCGAATTAACGTGAATTAAATCACACTAAAATTATTTTAAGATGACTTAGTACACTACGTAGAAAAAGCAAAATGGTTATATCCAATGAGTAACATGTTTTATTTTCCCAGTTGTGTGTACACACAATGCTATTACTATCACAAGCTACGAATTTTCATTTTCCAAGTATTACTTCCGCGTATTGTTGATGGCGTTTTAATTTGTTTAAAGCGGAGACCAGTGTAATTAATTACTTCTAATACATAATTCTGTATTTTTTAAATTATTATTTTTAGGATGGTTAAATTATTTGGTCAAATCAATAAATTTCTGGAATTAACGAATTATTTTCGCACGACTTTATTCCAATTTGAAAATAAAAATCTAAAACAATTGTGGCAGTACATGTCTGAAAAGGATAAAGAATTGTTTAATTTTGATTTCAGTGGTATCAACTGGGAAGTGTACATGGTGGAGTCCGTAAAATGGAGCCAACACTTTGTTTTTAAAGAAGCACTCAATGACATGCCCAAAAGAAAACGCAGATTAATGTTTTTCGCATTAACTCATTATGTCATAACAGCTTTGATTACTATTCTAATATGTCATTTGTTTTACACTATTTTTAAATTTTAATTTATAAATATTGATGTAGTAGGGAAGTAGCAGGTCAAGGGAACACTATTGTAATTTAAGTTTTTGCGGCATAATTTGAATAAAAAAAGTTATATTAAACCAAAATCTGATGTTTTATATCTTACGTGCTCAAACATGGAAAGTGAAATACAGAACTTTTTTCGCGATCAGACAATTTTTATCACCGGAGGTACCGGATTTATCGGAAAAGTTTTAATCGAAAAATTACTACGAGTATGTTACGACTTAAAAACCATTTATATTGTTGTTAGGCCAAAAAAAGGGAGTTCACCAAAGGAGAGATTTAAAAAGCTTTTCGACTTTGTTGTAAGTAGCATAAACTAAAATTCTACTTTTTGTAACGAATACACCAGTGTTTTGAGAAATTGAAAACAATGCGACCAAATTTTTTCGAAAAAGTTCAACTGATTGAAGGAGACTGCACGAAACCGAATTTGGGTTTATCGCAACACATTCGCGATATTTTAAAAAACGAAGTCACAGTTCTTGTAAGTGCGGCAGCTGATGTGCGATTTGACCAAAAACTACGGGATGCTGTTACCAGCAATGTCAAAAGTGTGTACGAGACTTTAAACCTGGCTAAAGAAATAATCAACTTAAAGGTAATAGAATATTATGTTATTAGGAGTAAAAGTGTGGCGAAGCTAAATAAACGTTTATTTTGCGTAACGTAGTGAGAAAAATTATTCAGCTGAGCCACATAAACTCACTTTGACTCCGAATAACATTTACTATTTTATCCGCAAACGTATTCAGAACGAGATTAAAGAGTAATCCTGTAATTAGCAAGTAAATGAACAAAATGATTACGACGCTGTTCAACAAATGTAATTATAACAACACTTATAAACAAACATCACGCGTCAGTACTGGAATTTGTGTTGAGATGTTCGAAAGTGTTTATTATTTTAACTAGGACATGACTAGTGTAGTAAGTAGTGTAAAATGTCGAATTCCGTCGTTGATCTACAATCTACATTTTCTTTGCTGAAGCAGCGGAAGAGACAAGAAAAAAACAACATTGGTAAATGTAAATGTAAATTTTTACTCCATTATTGAAAGGTAATACTTTTACTTGTGACATTTAAGTAGTCATAAAAGTGGTTACTTTCGTGACGTTTGCGGATAAAATTGTTCTTTGCAAAGAGGTATATTTTAGAATTTTAGGCATTTATTTATGTGTCAACGGCGTACTCAAATCCTTCTCCAGACTGTATTTATGAAAAATTTTACGAACCTGTGATCCAAGCCGAAACGTTGTTTCGCCTTGTTGACAGTCTCAATGACGAAACGCTTGAAATTTTGACACCAGAGTAAGTAAAAACCTGTTTGATTTTTAATTCCATTTTTTTCTTCAGATTATTAAAAAACAAGTGGCCAAATGTTTACACGTTTAGTAAAAGTATTGCTGAAGACCTTGTTAAAAGACACGGAGAAGGGTTACCATTAGCTATAATAAGACCTGGAATCAGTAATTACTTCAATTATTTTAAGCAGCAATTTAAATTATTTGAATTGTAGTCATGTCATCAGTTAAGGAACCTCTCGTTGGTTGGATTGATAACCTCTATGGGATTGTAGGTCTAGGAGCAGGAATAATTTTAGGTGCTATTAGGAGTGTATATTACATAAAGTCAACTCCTGTTCATACGGTGCCTTGCGACTACGTGGTGAATTGTTTATTAGCAGCGATTTTTCATTTGTCTGATCAAAAATTGAATGGAAAAAAATCTATTCTAATTTATAATTTTGTTCCAGAAGAACCTATAACAGCCAGTAAATTAAATTATAATCTATAATTTAGTTTAAGTATTTAATGATTGATTGCAGAATGTTTTGGTGATGTCCTAGAAAAAACAAAATGGAAATCACCATCTGGTAAAATGTTTTGGTTTCCAAGCTGCTCATATACTGAAAATTATTATTACCATAAGTTACATATTTTTATTTTTCATATTCTTCTGCCGTACATCATTGATGTTATTTTGTGGATTTTGGGAAGAAAACCGATGTAATTCCTCATTTATTTTTTATGATTTTTTATTTATTCTATTTTATGTATAATGTTTTAGAGCTACTCGAGAATACAGAAAAATCAACAAATTTTTGGAAGTAATATCATACTTCTGTTGTACACGATTTCAATTCCATAGTCAAAATGTTAAAAACTTGTGGCAGAACTTGAGTAAAATTGATCAAGACTTGTTCACTTTTAATTTGGACAATGTTGAGTGGGACTTGTACTTATATAACTCAATAAAACACGGACGTGTGTATCTTTTTAAAGAATCATTAGAGGATAAGTCTACAAACAAAAGGAAAATGATGTTTTTTGCTTTTCTGCATTATACGTTTACTGCTTTTGTTTATTACTTTATTTTAAAAATTTTTTATAATGTGTTTTCGATGTTTTTATAAACGAGAATAATATAATAATGTTCCCTTTTTTGTTTGTATCAATAACGTACATACAAAAATTATTAATAAATTAATTTCTTCTCCGGTTTGCTTTTCTTTATTGTTGTATTCTGTAGACAAAACAGTGGTCTAAAAACAAATCTTCCCCTACTTCCAAGTCTCCTACATATTGAAAACAAAAGTACAATTTTTTTATTAATTACAAAAGTAAGAATTTGTAAAAGCACATAAACAAAAATTAAAAATGAACAATGAAGTACTTACGGAATACAAATTCATTCTTGACACTCAAAATTTCAATTGGCGTTTCTTGTTGTTCGAGAATAAATCAATGATGAATTTTTAACACATATCACTCACACTCGTGACTTTGAGCAAGAAAAAAGGTGCTAAATAATGTGTTAATTAAGAAAAAGCGCACTTGTGGCACTCAATCGCTTATTTTTACGTTTTATCAAATAGAATAAAATTTCAGTACAAGGCAAATACAAATTTAACAAACTCATCTTGTTTATTTTTATTTTTTGTTATTGAAATAAAACTATAATGGCATATTTCCTAGAAAATGAAATTTCTGTTAACCGATTAAACATTTGGTGGTCCTGACCTAAAAAAATAAAACACAATAAGACTTACAAAAAATAATTTATTATTACATTACAAGACAAATAAATACATTCAGTCTTTGCTATTATAATAAAGTGGCTCATTTTCCCTAAACTAATCTTCGTTTGTATTCGTAGTACCTCCGAACTGAGAAAAACGGCACAAAAATAAACGTATGGTCGGGGTATTTCAACGTGTCTTGTATGACTTCTCCCCTGGGTGGTTCCAGCTCGCTGACATACCTTCTGGATCGTGTGGGACTATCATGATTCTGATGCATGGGTCGGCAAAGGCACAAACTTGTAAATACCATCACCAGAGTGAAAAACAGAAGTACTTTAGTCATTTTGAATACTTTGTAACTCTGTTAAGTAACTATTTCGACTGATGAAAATTGTGAATTGGTCTCGAATATATAGTTGATGTAATAATAATTGCTAATAATTTATGTAAACCAAAGGCCAAATTTTAACTTTGTTAATATGAGTGAACTAAATAGACCAATGTTATAGAAATTTCGAGAATCATGGAAGATGCATTGAAGGTAATTTATTTAGATTAAATAATGGCGATCAAAATTCGGAAGCGTGTGTCGCAAGTGTTTAGGAAAAGTACTTTGTTGACAGTGTTCTGGGATAATTACTAAAACAGATAAAAGTTCTATGGAAATTTCTTTAGTTTTTTCAATTTCAAACATAATATCTAAGTAATTGCGGAAAAACAGACGTAATAAATTCGAGCACAAACAATACAATACTTTATTATACTTTCTAATATCTAAAAACTTATATCATTTCCCTGGAGGTTAAAGATTGCATAACACTGACTTACCTGAATTGCAAACGTAAGATTTAGAAATAAAAATTTCTGGCATTCCACGAAAATTATTTTAAAATATGTATCTAATATTCCCAATAATTTTTGTGGTATCACATCTAAGAAAAGTAAATGATTCATGCATCATTTATCACTTTTACTATTATATTTTAATTATAGTAATAGTAAAATTGAGTTGTCAAATTAGTCAGGCAAATATTTTGGCAGGTAGGTATTGTGCAACACGTGCCAGAAAAAGAAAAATATATTTTTTATAATAATACTGTTTGCTGTATGAATTTATAAAATTATTACAGAATATTAAATATTATTATTATTATTACTATTATTAAATTTTGTGTCCTAGGTACAAAAAAAATTACAATTACCTAACTGTTTGTTATTACACGCTAAAAAGTGTTTATAAATAAAAGATACCTACTTTGTTCCTAACACCCAATTCTAGAACACAGATAATTTATTTTCCAACTGTACCTACATCATTTAGATAATATTTGAAAAATCAATCCGTTTTTAACTGTGTTGAATGTTTTGTATTCGTCTATAACATAAACAAAAATGTGTGATGGAAATATTGAACATACTCATAAGTATTTTTTTTTTATTATGTAGACAAGTTTGTTTTTAGATCATTCTTAAAAATTGTTTAAGAGTGGTCTTATTCGCTAAGATGACGTTGGTGCGCAAGGGTAGGAAGCAAAATGCATCAATTTGGGGTAGTTTTTGGAAAAACTAACAAGTGCGTCCTTGAGATAAAGAATCAAACTTAGGTTTGCAGAGTCATGAATCATGATTTTCAGTGTCATCGTCTTGGCGAGAAACTGACGAGTATCCGAAAGAGGGCAGAAAAAAAAATTGGATTTCTAATAATTTTAATAATTAATTAAATGTTAATAATAAATAAAAGTATAGGCAAAACTGCAACTAAATAAATTCTTACACTTAGTAGGTACAGCATCTAGTTTTCCAAGATGTTATAGCTGTCAATGAAATAACATATGACTTAAATAGTAAACAGGTAAATAATAGATATTTGTATTTCAAGAGAGGAAAGTGTAAAGTAAAAGACACTTTCCTTTACTGTAATACATACATATTTTTCCTACAATCCTGAACAAAAAGTAACAATTTTTCTTGGTACCTACTCCAGTTTAGCAATTAAATCTAGCAGCATGTTTTTTTCTTTTCTCTTTAAGAGGTTACATATATTTTTATTGTAAGTGTTACAGATGAGGCTGATATTTTTTTTGGTGGAAAATGTGGGGATCATGAGAAAAAACTATACCTATGTAATTCGCATTTTATTTATGTCAGAGATTCCATTAATTTAATTGCTCTACCTTTTAAATCAATATTTAAGTACTACCACTAGTACCACTATTTCAGTCAAATAGCAAAGAAAAGTTAAAAGAAACAAAAAATAACACTACATTATTTTATTGCATAGGCAACCAGTAATATGGTACAATGACTGATATATTTTGATCTATTTTATTCAAAAATCAAAATGATAACCTTAAGCATTTTTGTTTAAAGATTATAAAACATTGCACTATATTGTATCACATTTCATGTAACATTACTCACACATTTTATCTACTAATCCAATGAAGTCATTTAAAATGACTCATTTTGTAATTATACAAAAAAAAACTCAAAATAAATAAAAAATTGTTTATTTTGACTAAAAAAGACAGTCTCTTAATGTTCAGGTAATTGTACAAACATCAAAATGCCCAACAATACTTTTATTGCTTTCTACTGCTATGCTAAGATAATCATTTGTAAATTATTCTCGTCGAGTAAATGCTATACAGTTTCGGCCGTGTCCACGTTTTCATTTTCTTCATCCCTCAAAGACCTCCCTTGTCTTCTTTGAGCAAAAGCTGGAAGAAAAACGTGCCGTCTTTCCCTCTTAAAAACATCGTTACTGTCCAAGATATCCGTTAAAGCATCCACGGATCTCGTTCGTCGACTTTTAGAAAATGAGGGAAGAAAAACGGATCTTACTTGTCGATGTCTGGCAAAACCTGGAAGGAAAATTTGGCGTTTCTCCCTGTCTAGATCATCCTCAAGTGAACGAGCTTGGCGGTGACGGGCGAAGCCTGGGAGGAAAATTTGCCGTCTTTCCCGATCTAAGTCAAGAGACCTTTTTGTGATTTTTTCCATTCCAGTTAAAGGAAAGCCTTCGTCAGTTCTAAGCGATCGGGTGATTCGTTCCATTCCGGTTAAAGGTGTTCCAAAATCGGTTTTTAGTGATCTTGTGTATCTTTCGTTACCGGTCAAGGGGATGGCGATGGGTGCAATTTCTATGATTTGGTATTCAGATGGGTCGATGGGTATTGCAGATGAAATCGCGCCAAGAAGGCACAACAGAAATATTTTCTGCATTTTAACACTTGTTTTGTCACTTTGTAGCACTCTTAGTCGGGTTTGAAACTCGATTGATTGACTGGCGGGATCGATGGGTATTTATACTATTTGCGAATTTTTGTTAATAGGTACTAAATAGCATTGACGCTTTTCATCAGCCGATAATGTTTATTACTTATTAAGGTACAAAAAGGTGTCAAGTTTTTTGGTAAACATAGTCTGTACGATCAACGTCAAAGACAAGTGAAGCTTTTATTTAGAGATTTTTTCTATAAACAAGGATTTGATGGTTTGATGTTGATGCGGTATGTAAAAGTAATTAGAATAAAATATATTTTGATTTGAATATTTTGCGTGGTCTAATTTTAGAAAATAAAGCGTCAGAAAGTAGTTATAGTGTTTGAGCTGATGCTATAACACTTTTAGCACTTAATTTAATTTAATTTAATTTAGGTGGATATGAGTACCTACTAAGAAAATTGTTTAAAATAATAAGAAAAACGTTTGTGACGAATTGTTTACGTAAAAGCCAAAAAATATGGGATAATTCGACAAATAAAATAATTTTTATAATAGGCGTTTCTTCTATTTAACATACAGGCTGTTTAAAAAATGCCGCACTAAAACTATGGTACGGTGTCTAGAAGCATTTGGTGAGTGAGGAAAAAATATTTAAAAAATTCTTGGTTTTTATTTTTCTGCACAGTGGGGGTTTTGTGTAAGAATCTTCTTCAAACATTGTTAGTTGTATTTATTATTACTAAATAACACTCAAAATGCAATAAAAATATGCAGAATGGATGGTAGATTAATAATCTTTAACGCAATGTCTGTGATGGTCTTTAACATTCAATGCGATTTACCTCTAAATTATCGCATGCATAAATCGATGCGGCAACGTTTAAGGGTAACAATGAATTCAAGAATTGAATTATTCCATGGCAACTCTCTTGATTTTCTCAAGGTAGGTACACGCAGTTGCCAGATTTACTATAAAATAAACCTTCATCCAGATGCAAATTTAAAATCAAGAAATTTTTAAATATTTTTCCCTCACTCGCCAAATGCTTCTAGGCAGCGTACAATAGTTTTAGTGCGGCATTTTTTTGGGGGTGCGAGTTCTGGAGCATCCTGTATTTTTTTATGTCTCACCTCTTCACAATTGATCTATAATGATTTCCATTTGAGGCCTATGATGAGGGAATTATACCCTAGAGCATTAGGGCTTTTCACAATATATTTGCCACGAAACTTTACTTGTTGGTGTGTGTGTTCATAAGCTATTTTACTTGATGATATGTCATATTTATTTTGGTATTGTCAAATTATTTTATAGTCCTTGGGTGATATAAGAATTTCGGACCGGAGGCCCTGCGCCTTCTCAAATCTATCGCCCTCAAAGGCCATAAACATCCAATAATGTCTTTGGTACATAATAGTATATTATACATAAAGGGAGAAAAATGCACGATTATTTCTGAGGTGTGGTTTATAGCCGGAGGGCGAAGCTTGAGGATTATAAAACACCAAAGAAATAATAACATTTCACTCCATTGATTTATATACACGTATTTTTGCACAACTTGAGATAAAGACCGAAGAAATTAGCTGTAATTCATTAATAAAATTCAAAATTAGCATAAAGCTAGCATTCTTTGAAGTTACAATCAAAATGTTTGTTGACAATGAGCTTATCAATGAATAGGAATGACTTACTAATGCTTTTTTCTCTATCGGGAGAAAATTTTGACTTTTGTCACAGTTTTGATAAAAATAATCTATTAATGAGTAGTGACAAAATATAATGAAGTTTGCAATTTGAAATTTCATGTTCATAAAATAAAGCAAGACAAATTAAAAAATGTAATAAGATTAAATTGCTTTACTGTAATTAAATTTAAGCAAAAAAACTATTCTACATATTCCTACTTTTCTTGATGTTGAAAAAAACAAACAAATTAAATCATTAAGACAAATCATTTAGTTCTATAATAAAGGTAAAACTAAGTGGAATGCAGGAATGTTCTGCATTTTTTTTTACTGTTACCTTCAGGAAATATTGAAAATTACTAAAATTAAAACCCATTTTTTAGAAGAGCACTTTTTAAGTATTTATGGCATTCTTATAAAATTCTTCCTTTAAGATCATGATGATAATTGATGAGTGATGAGTTGATGACTGATAGTATTGATAAAATAATATGTTTAATAATTATTTTTGTTACAAGTACCAGTTTTTGCGGACGAATCGTTGCTGTTTCAGGACGAGGCAAAGCCGAGTGTGCAAAAACGTTTTAGGTACGTGTTACAAACAACATTTTTTTATTAAAGCTTCCAAAACGCGAATTGACATTTCTTATTAATAAAAACAATTTCGCCACCATAGTAACCAATTTTATTTTTTAGCCCGGAAAAACTGTTTTTGTTGACTGAGTACCTAAAATAACCATTTTACGTACCTTTTTATTGAGTCCGGAAAAGACTCATTTTAGGGACTCAAATGCGTCCCTAAAACAGCTGTTTTGGGGAGCGTATTCAAAAAAATAATTTTTTAATCTTATATTGTTTTCTTTTTGTTGTGTTTTTTGTTGTTCCATTTATTTATTATTTCCTTTTAATATACTTCAAATGATTTAAAGGTGTTCATAGATTGCGAAATATTAAAACTTTTTTATCGATACTATGACTAATCACTTATCATAAAAATAGTCAACTGGTACCATTTATAAATAAATTAGAGATAAAAATAAACACCGAAGAGCAGATTATGTGGGAAGATAATTGGATGACAAATATTTTTGGCCAAAGCCTACTTAAAATTCAGATAAACTTAATTACTCGTGTCAATAATGATAATCTTAGGAGTATAGTAACACCACAATTTCAAGTGTTGAATGTCAATAACTTGCGAGAAAAATGACAGTTTGTAAATGTAATTACTCGAGATGTTTCAACACATGAATCATGTTTTTTGTCAAGAAAAAACTTGTTAAGAGCACTTCCTGGCCTTTACCTACTTCCGGCCAATGCCGAGTCACTTATTAATATTTATCTACCTATTCTAAAGTTTTTCAAAAAATGAAACACAAAAAATAACAATGATATAAAAATTTATTAAATAATATAATTTACAATAAATAAAAGTCAGTCTTACAATAATTTTTTTCTAACTTTTTTCTATCAAAATCGCTCCCTTGTGAGCCCATGTCGGAAAAATCTGAACCTTAAGTCATCAACGTTAAAGTACAATCTATCTGCGGATCTCTTCACAATATTCAGTTTTTTTGTGTCGAATCTAATTTCTGGATTTTCTTCCCGTTCTTCAACTTCTCTTTTGGAAATCTTCTCTGAAGCAGGAAGTTCGATATCGTTGCTTCGTACAATGAAGAAAGGTTTGGCTTCAGTCATGGCAACGAATGCCAACACTGCGAATATTACAACTGTTTTCATTTTGCTTGTGCTTGTGGCAGACTGTTCGACATTTGAAAGATTGTTCCGTATTTATATGAGTTTGCTTACGCAAATGAACCGCTAATGTGCAATAATTAATATTTTGTTGGTTTATCTGTTCGCCGATAATGACAAGTGTCTACAAGTACAATTGAGTTTAGAACCTTTTTGGCCGGAAAGAGATAATTCTTGCGTTTTGGGTTAACTGTTATCAGGGGAGAAGATTTCGAGGAAGTGTTGTCGAAGAAATTTTCCAAAACTGTTGGAGATGACGACGCTCTTTGTCTCGTGATTGGATGAGATATCAAAATTTAAATGCTATTTCCAGACAGCGAATTTTATTGCAAAATATATTTTAGAAAATGTTGCAACACTAATCAACTATTTTTCATAACTTTTTTAAGTTACATCAGAATTGTAGCTTGCTTTTTTTTAGAAAATTTCGTATAAATATATAAAGCACAGCATAAATCGATGGCGATTTATTATTTTAATTAATTAATTAATTTTATTACCAAGAGTAAAAACAAAAATACGAAACAGAAAAATTTATAAGTTTACTATGTATACCTATTAATTAAATAACTAGAATGAAATAGTTAGGTATATCTAGAATTCTTTGTCATTGGTAGCTCTACTGTAACATTTATGTAACAATTGAAAATAGATTTTCAAAAGGAACGATTTTATTTATAACACGTGTAAAAAATTTCGCTTGAGAGTGACAATTAAAATGTTTATGATTACAAGTCATATTTAAAGAATTCCATTGTTCTAGTTTATTTTGATTTCTAATCAACTCTGCACACCAATTTGTTCTTTGTTTACTGTGACAGGTAAAACAGTACTAGTATATTTAGACTTAAATCGTTATAAATTTAGAAATTGACTTCATTGTTGTTTTGAAGAAACTTTGTAATGTTCATGTGATTCTGAGCCGGAAAACCCATGCGCAAATTGAAATATGAATTTAAAATTTTTGTTTATGTTGTTACTCAGAGTTAAAAAAATCAATATGTTTCTTATTGCTCTAGAATAAATTGTTGTTTAATCGTTCTTTATTAAATAATTTAGTGCCATAATCTTATTTTTACACTGTTTGAAATAACTATATTACCTAATATATTCATTAAAGTGATAAAAATAGAAACATACAGTAATATTTAAAGAAGCACACGCATAAGAATTATAACAAATATTTATTATGAGAAGAAATATTTATTAATGTCGTAAAAGGTAAAATTAAAAATAGATATTGATGTGTAGAATCTAAATCATTCGACAATGTGCTAAACGATGACAAAAGTTTGCAAAGAATTGTAGAATTATCCAGATTAATCCAGTAATATTTTATTAGATTTTGAAGTAAAATTTTGTAGGTATTATCCAAATATTTTATTTGCAAATAACAATATTTTGCAAACTATAGTAATATTTATAGTAATACAACTTCTTCACCTGTTCACTTTTAGTTTTATGGAAATTTTCGTTATGACAAAACTTCTTTGATCAAAGTTGAACAGTCGTTCATTGTAAGCAACGTTTTGGACAGACGTTCGATCTACATATTTTTTATAAAGAGATGACAATAAGTTGTGTTACTTTGTTTCAAGAAGTATTATTTTATTTTTAAAAATATTGGACTTGTGGCTCAAGTTTTTTTTATAATTCGGCCAATGTAACTTTAGTATACACCTAGCGTTAAGTTTAAGTAAAGAGTATGAAACCAAACGTGTTTTGATTAAGCTACATAGGTAGGTACATACTTGTTTTTGAAAAATAGTATGATTGCTGAAAAAGATAAAGTAAAGTGCTACCTTTACATAATTAAAAAATAACGTGATCGTTTTTTGGGATAAAATTTTTAGCTTCTTGTTTTTGAATTCTGCATCTTTATCTTTAAATGGCAACTTGCTATAAAAATGTACTGGATTGATTGATTTATTATTATTCAATTTTGATATTCAACTTGAGTGCCCCATCTTGATCGAAATTCTCAAATACGCCACTGAAATTATTTTTATTTAATTTTTATGTTTAAATAAAATTGTTTTTAATTGTTTTTTTTTAATTTTAGCGAGAGACTTTAAATTCTTGATTTAAATAATGTAAAGCTATAGAAAAAAGTATTGCAAATAGTCTTGAGGCAACAAACTCTAGTATTCCGATTGAATTTAAATAACTAAAACAACATGACTGGAATTATTGAAAACTGTTGAGAGCTGATAAAGATTTTTTTGCAGCAACCATACAAGGTGATTCACGAGGAATAATGAGCCTGACTAAATTCTCGATGCAACCACCACTACTTTTCGCAAGTTGCTTTGCGATAAATGTAATGTTGGTTGCATCAAGAATTTGGTAAGACTCATTATTCCTCGTGAATCACCTGTATACCTAAAAGAATTAATTAACAATTAAAAATTGTAGAATGCATTATATTTTAATACCTACTACATTAAGCTGATGATGTAAACTATTTTTTGACAGAGAATTAAAATAAATTATGTAGTTTTCAATTTTTCCTACAAAATTGAATATTTTCAAGTGTGTGTTTACGTAGGCAACCAATATAACACCTTTTTGCTTTATTTTGATTTTTGTTTAACTATATCTTTAGTTATTTAAATACTTTAAATGCGTTTATAATACGCACTTATATAAAACAAATAATTGTTAATTTTTTTTTTAATTTAATTTTTTAAAGTTTGAAGTTCGTTATTACTGAACTTCGCAAGCCCGATCCTAACCTGTCAAAAGTCAAAAATCATCGCATCTGGAAATTCTGAAAGCAGCCCCATTTCTCAGCAGCACCGACTATGATCGAATCTTGCCCTAAGAAACGCATGTTACTTGGCATCAGCTGCCTTGGAATGTAAGTAGAACCCCTGAATTTCTTTCCTCCAAATCACCCCAAACCTAGCTTAACAGTTCTAGTTTTAATCATTGAATCTCACTGGACGGATTCACGGGGACCCAGTCGGAAGCGCACTTTTCCCGTTGAGCAAAACTCTACGTGTTGGGAAAAGGAAAAGTACGAGATAATCAAAGACTGCGAACCCTGCTCTCCTTTTGAAATTGCTAGTCAGAGCGTGGGGGTTTGCATCCACACTCATTTTAAAGAAGTCCTCAAGTGCGCCAGTGGGGAGACCGTGACTCGCAGCTGCGACAAGGCGGCTTACATCGATGAGAGAGCGTTTTGGAGATTTGAAGGTTTTACGTTTATTTGTGCTATTATTTCAACTCTTTGTGTCTCTGCAAGGAAAAAGGTATTGAACAAACGGATGTTGCAAAGGGTGCAACGGCAATTAGCCAACTGTGTTTAAATAATGATGGACTACATTTATATAGGGGCTCATCGAGTCGGAGACACCCAGTTTTCATTAGATATTGAATCGTTAATTGTCCTTAACGTCTATAGAATCGCAGGGAATGACAATATTAAACTTAGGGTTAAGATTCTCGATGGGGAGATACGGGGAGCTTACGTCAAAGTCGACATGTCCCGAGTCGTGTACGAAATCATAGAAAATGGACCCGAAATTGCGAAATACTGTGCATGGCCGGTCATAGTCAAACATAATTATGTCATTGCTGGTTTATGTTCAGTCACACGACAAATAATAAAATTAAGCGAACATAAAAAAGTCAAAAAGTTGTTAGGATTTAGAGATGCGTGTCTTATGGCGTGTAGCGAGAGTTCAATATGGACGAAATTTTGCGAAGTCGATATCATTTCAACCATTAAAAGTCTCGTTTTAGACCCGATGTCTCATTTCGATGGAAACATTTTTAAATTACCACGAGATTTGGTTCGATTTGAATACCATTTAGGACAACCGGTACGTATGCATAATGTTTATAAAATCGCAAGAGAACATAATAAAACTGTAACAAACGACACACCAATCGATAAATTGGACTTGAAACATACTTTTGGTGAAGGTCCCTTTATGACACTTTCCGATGTTATTTTATTTTGTTGTGTCCAAATTTTTATGACTCTGTTTCCCGAACAAAAATTTCAAGACAAATTACCTCTAACTCTTGCCTGGTATCACAATATGAAAGAAATGAATGTAAACAAATTGAAATTTGAGTTAAATTTATTCCTAGTTGAAATAATTAAAGTCGAGGAACCGGAAATAGCCAAACAGAGTCTCTACACAGCTGATCCTTCGCGCTATAAACCGGAAAAACGCATCTACACCAAACAAAAAGACATAACAAATTCGTTAAGAATCATAAATAATAATCATATTGAGATTGTAAATTCCCTGTATCCGTATGGTGATGAGATCGAATTTGATTGGTCGAAAATACCGGAAGAAGCGAATCCGATGAGTGGCGCCCTCCCGGAAAATCGCGCGTACCGGAAATGCGATCAGTTGGAAAATCTCGCCAAAGCCGTAATTAAGCTCGTTGGGACGAAACAAATAAAAATCGTGGATTTTTGTTCCGGGAGTGGCCACTTGGGTATCCTGCTTGCTTTTCTCCTCCCCCAATGTACAATAATTTTAGTCGAAAACAAAGAATTGTCACTCGTGGGAGCCAAAGAACGTATCGAGAAAATGAATTTGTCGAATGTAGTGATTTTGCAATCGAATTTAGATTATTTTATCGGCACTTTCGATGTTGGGGTGTCTCTGCACGCATGTGGGGTCGCGACGGATCTGGTGATTCAAAACTGTATAAAAAATAAGGCGCATTTTGTGTGTTGTCCATGTTGTTACGGGGGAATACACGATTGTTATCATTTGACGTATCCGAGGAGTTTGGAATACCAGAGGTTGAATATGGAACATAAGGATTATTTGACGTTGGCGCATGCTGCAGATCAGACCCATGATCCGAATAATAGGAAGACGACGCAAGGGTTTGTGTGTATGGACGCGATTGATACGGATAGGCGGTTGTACGCGGAGAGTTGCGGATATGAAGTGCATTTAGGGAAGCTGCAACCGGTTTCATGCACCAATAAAAATAATTTGTTAGTTGGAATTTGTAACAGCTAGATATTTATTTGTAACTAGGTTGTTAATTGAATGGTTGTATTTTTATACTTTGTGTATAAATAAATGTGTTTTTGAAAATAAATGTTAAATAAAAGAAGTTTTTATTTACTTTAGAGAGAAATCCTGAACTAAAAAATACCATTGAATTAGGATAAGAAAGGCTACGTTGCTAAAATTATGCAAAAACTACGAAACTAGTTTTTCATTTTTGTTGTGGGTTTCTATAATAGATGATTTGCTATTTTATATATTTCTTTCGTGTAATTATTTAATTTCACAATTTTTGGGGGTACCTAGTGGGTAGGCAATTAATGATGTGTCACGTAACCTGTGAAATCGACGAGAAGTTGTAAAAAAGTGTTTTTTTCTTGATTTTGGACTTGTACATACCTAATTATTTTTTTAAAAATTCTTACATTCGACAGTAATGTATCAGGTGAATAATAAGTATGGAACCAAACGTTTTTTGCTTAAACTATTTATTTTTTGAAAAAACTAATTGATGAGTAAATTTCCTTTTATTTTTGAGTTGTACAAAAAAATTAATTTTTTTAAATGGCAACCCACTATAAAATCATTTTTTCTCATAACAGCTATACTATAAGGATTACAACTACCTGCTTTATATTTAATTTTTTCAAAAAAAATTTTTCGCATAAATTGCAATTTTGACAAAAAAAAATCGCATAACTCTAAAATAAAATAAAATTTCGTTCTGAAAATACGATGAAATTTTTTGTATTACTTTAATTTGTATTAATTATTATTTTCTGGAAGCAAATGATTAAAAATAAAACCGCGTGGTTCCATACTTTATATTCACCCCTGTATATATGTACCTACGTTTTAAGAATTAATTAGTTAATTGAATAATGATCGTTTTTGTTAAGCTTGACGTTGTTTTTTTTTATTTTAAAGCTGTTTTTTGAGTTGTCATTTATTAAAATTATGTTTTTCGCAAACAAGAATGTTTAACATGAAGCGTATTCAAATTTATAATAGGTACATACTTTTTTGTATATGGATATCTTGATATCATAGTGATTTGTTCGTAGTAATGGTAATTGTTATATTCGTCCGCTCAAATGAGCAAAGGGCTAACCACGGCCCTAATTATGATGAAAATTTACATGTACATTCACAATTTTTATCGATTAAATAAAGAATAAATAAAATGACTTATGCAACTAATTATGCACTTACAAGTCATTTCAGTTGGTCGACTGTATTTTTCGTTCTTCCAATGTCAGTGTCATAAATGTCAATGTCAAAAAATTTAGGTTAAGTCAATTTTTGAAATTAGTAATGTTTTCTCTTATTAGTGCCCGTGCATTTTTTAAGCCCCGTTTGGTCAAGTATTTTCGGTATAGTAGCACAAAAAAGAAATTTGAAGATGTCGACGTAAGCAAAATTCGAAATATCGGTATTTTAGCGCACATCGATGCAGGTTATATCACTTGATTCTTATGTAAACAAGTAGCGTAATTGACTAATTAAAGGTAAAACAACCACAACAGAACGTATGTTATATTATTCCGGTCTAATAAATCAAATGGGTGAAGTCCATCATGGTAATACAGTGACCGATTTCATGGACCAGGAACGGGAAAGGGGGATTACCATAACTTCAGCCGCCGTTACTTTCTATTGGAAGAATAATCAGTTTAATTTAATTGATACTCCTGGTCATATAGACTTTACTATGGAGGTCGAACAAACGTTAAATGTTTTAGATGGGGCTGTGGTAATTTTAGACGGATCTGCAGGTTAATATGAAAAAAAAAATGATTGACTAAGTATTTAATTCATTATGTACAGGGGTTGAAGCTCAAACTTTGACAGTTTGGAGGCAAGCAGATCGGTATAAAATTCCCAGAATAGTTTTTGTTAATAAAATGGATAGGAGTGATTCAAATTTGTTTTTGAGTTGTAAAAGTATAGAAGAGAAATTGGAAATGCCCGCGCTTTGTTTACAGTTACCTGTAATCGAAAATGGGGTACTCACAGGTTAGTATATGATAAAAATTGACGCCTCCTTGTTAGCTGGCTTTTTAAATTTGAATAAATTCATCAGGGATAGTTGACGTTCTTACATTGGAAAAAATTATGTACAATCGAAATAACGATAAATTAATGAACCGTGTGGAAATAACAAAAAAATCCGATCCAGAACTTTGGGAAGACGCCAGACGTCTTCGTTCTCATCTAGTCGATGTTTTATCCACTTTTGACGATTCGCTAGCAAATCTAGTAATTTCTTCCGAATCTTTCGATATTACGACAGTCGATATTATCAAAGCTTTGCGTTCAGTGACGTTAAAACAGGTAAATATTCTTGTATCGTTAAATTTTGAAACTATAATTTAAGCCAAGAAAGCAGTACCAGTTTTGATGGGCAGTGCCTACAAAAATATAGGAATTCAACCATTAATGGACTCGATTCTTTTATACCTGCCGTCACCCGATGAACGCGACACACATTTTTCTTCTTTTGAGGAAAATCTCTGTGCGCGAGCGTTCAAAGTCAGACACGATAAACAAAAAGGAGCGTTGACTTTTTTCCGCATTTATAACGGGAAGTTTAACAAAAACCAAAGAATTTATAGCATTCAACAAAAACAAGCTGAACAATGTGGAAAATTATACGTAGCATATGCTGATGATTTCAAGGAAGTTGACAGTATTGGAACTGGAAATATTGCGGTTGTTTCGGGTTTGAAGGTGTGGGGGAACCTCTGATGAACATTGTTTTTAATTGTGACACTTGTAGTATGTTATGTCGGGGGATTTAGTAACAAATTCACAATCGTCGGCACAAAAAGCCAAGAATAAAATGTTTAAATTAACGAAGAAAAAAGGCGAAATTGATGAAGAAAGTGTGGAAAGTTTGTTCGGGACTGGTCCGAGAATCCCCGAACCGGTTTTTTTCTGTTCAATAGAACCCCCAAGTTTGGCTTATCAAAACGCATTAGAGCAGGCGTTAAATGAGTTGCAGAGAGAGGACCCGAGTTTGAGGGTGACTCACGACGGTGAAACTGGCCAGACTGTTTTATCCGGAATGGGGGAATTACACTTGGAAATAATTAAAGACCGAATTTTGAAAGAGTATAAAATTAATGCGGAGTTGGGCCCGTTGCAAATTGCTTATTTGGAAAGTCCGGTAAACAAAGTCACTGAGAGTTTATTAACTGATACGAAAATCGGTAACAATAAGCAAATGGTTCACGTAAAATTGTCCCTAATTCCGGTGGAAAAGTTTGGTGGAGACATAATGAAATTGGATAAGAGTCCGGATGCTGCTAGTAACATTGCGAACATTTTTCCTAAACATTTATTAGCTATCAAACAGGGGATTGAAGTGGGGGTTGCCCACGGCCCCAAAATTGGTAGCAGAGTCGTCAACGTCCAAGTAATGTTGCATATGTTTGAAGTCGGCCGAGGCACTTCTGAGAGTGTGATTGCAGCAACGGTCACACAGTTAGTACAAAAAGTAACTTTACGACCGCCTAATTCAATTTTGTGATAAGTGTGACTTGCAGTTGCTCCAAAAATCGGACACCAATGTTCTCGAACCTATCATGCATTTGGAAATAGCCGCCCCCGATGAATATGTCTCAAGCGTAATGGCAGATTTGGCAAGGAGGCGGTCTGAAATTCAAAATGTGTCACTCCGAGGAAATATGAAGGTAGTAATGAAAAATTTGCAAGTTTTTTGCTAATGTTTGCAGGTGGTTGAAGTGATGGTACCGTTAGCCGAATTGATGGGTTATTCAACGGTTTTGAGGACCATCACGTCGGGGACGGCCACTTTTACCATGGAGTTTGGGGAATATAGGGTTATGACAGCTGTTGACGAGGAAAATGCGATAAGGAGTGTGCGAGGGTTTTGATATTTGTGCCAAAGTAGCTTTGTATTTAGCTGAATAATTTATTATTTATTATTTAGCTGAATAATGAAGTCAAATTTTAATTAACTTAGAAATGAATTCTCTAAATAAATAATTTAAATTTTATTACGCTAAGTTTAGATAATTTTTGTTCAAATATTTAAAAATTAACAGCTTTTATTTCGTACCTAGCAGTTCACTGTTTACTAGAGTAGTTACTATTTACACATAAAGTCAATATCCTGTAACATAAATATTTTTACAGTTCGTAAAGTCGGCATTTTAGTAATTTAACATAAATTTTTACTACAACGAGGGGCCCCTTTAGCACACAACAGTTTGAAGAATTCTGCAGCAATGTTCTTCCTGAATGCTAGGGTTGATTTTCTGCTGGGTTGCTGCAAAGAAAAAAGTTTATTATTATAACGAGGTACAAAAACAAAAAATTGCGAGATTAAAGCATACAGAAACTATTTTTAGATATTTAGATGTTTTTTACATGTACTCCATGAACGTCAATTCAAATGTTTTTCTCTAGTCCGCATTTTGTTGTCGCTAGAGTTCCTATAATAGAAACGAAGTAAAATATAGGAACTCAAGTCGCTATGGTACGTTTCGACATCATCGCTAATAAAAAGTAATTTCCGGCGACGTAAACCATTTTGTCTAATTCTTCGAATGAAATTTAGACCCTCGTGTAACTGTAATCTCAGCTGAAAATGTGGGTAGGCCTTCTGTAGACTTTAGGATGGCAGAAAATGACATTTCTGAATTTGTATTGCGCTTCTTCTCATTTTTACGGCAGGCTTGTAACTGACGAAAATCGTCAACTTTCTTCTTCAAATCTATTTCATCTGAAATAAAATACGAAATATTGTTTTTTATCATTGTTTTTACACCAACTAATACAGCAGTTACACAACAATCACAGGACACCTACTAAATACCCTCTCTCGTTGTGTAGATTGAAGTAGGTTAGTGTACTTGAAGCTAAACAAACTCCGGCTGCAATGCTTTTCTTATGGGTGTTTAAAAGTGTCTTCTTATTTCTTTAGCCCTATTTAACTATTTTACTAATTTAACTATTTACATGGAAAATTTATTAACAAACATGTAAATTCGTTTGTTTTAAATTAGGTAAGTTCTTTGTTTCTTTTTACCAACAGGTACGGTTTCTTATGTATTTGTTTAGTTTTCTCGGACTAAAGATGCCGAAACTAGTTTTCCTTCTAAATTAAAAGATTTATTAAATATTTTATATAATTTGTGGGTTCAGTTTTGAAAATTTACCTTCCACTTACAACAAGAAAATAAAGTCCACTTTGAATTTGAAGAATTTTCACAACCATAATATTTTTTGTTTTTTACGAGGTAATTTTGATTGAAAACAATTGTAGCGTTTTTTAACAACTCAAATTATTCTTCATCATAAATAATTTCAACTTAAAAAAAAATCTGATAAAGTCAAAGTTCTTTATTAGTTTTCGTAAAGTGTAATTACGATAAAATTACATAAATCAAAATCCAGTTTAGGACAGGACAGGAATTAACGTTGTATTGCACTCTGTATTTTTGAAGAATTCTAATGATTTCCTTATCAGATCCATTGACACTAACATTATACTTTGTGAAATCCGTAGAATGTTTTGGAATGCCTTTATTTGTATTGGCGGCATCACATTTTTTTACATGCTGGTTTGAAAACAGAGAAGCTCCCAGCCGCAAGGATGTTCACCGTTTCCTATACATCTACTGAACTTGCAGTTTTCATATTCGGACACACGAACTCAAAAATCGTTTTTGTTCGTGTTGCGAACTCATGAACGCATTCCACATGTAAAGGTAAAAAATGTTAAATATAGTGATGATTAAGAAATTGCTATACAGGGTGATTTTTAAATAGACCGACAAACTTTTATTACAGCTTCCCAAGACTAAATAAAGACAAACTGTACCCTTTTTACGTTTATATCTTTTAGGGACAAAACCCCCTTGATCCCTGCCACTTACGGCGTTTATGAATTGTTGCAATGATCAACATCAAATTAATACCATGATTTCCACTACCTGTGCTAATACTATTTACGAACACATCAATGGCGTACGCTTTACCTTAAAAATAACTTTAATAAATTTTATTTGGAGAACGGTTAAATAAAGAATTTTTTAAATATTTTTTTCAGCATGTACTCATTTGATACTACCAAAGATAAAATTTTGTCGGTCTATTTAAGAATCATATACTTGTATGTAAATTGTGTCCCATAAAGAATCGAAAAGGTAAGGTAGTCATGCCAACAGGGGGTTATTAACTGCTAATATCTAATTCTTCTGCTTCGATTCCGATTGCTTCGAAACGCTTCGAGATCGAGAAAAGCAAATAATGGCAGAGGCAGTGGCGTAGTGAGGGTGGTTCCGCGGGTTCCGCGGAACCAGGCCCGGGGCTCGAAGGGCCCGATCAAAATTCTTACTTATTAACATTATTGTAAAAATAAAATAAAAAAGTTTTACAACAAAATTGGCCTACTATGTATTTAAAATTAACGATGTTTATTTTAAATACAAAACAAAACTGCTACTTACAATAATTACGAGTTGGTTACAAGAAATGGCTCTTYTTTTCTAAACACTAGCGCGTTTGGGTTTAGAATCATTACTTTTTCTCCTGGAGACATTTCTAAGAAAAGTATAAAAAATAAAAATAAATGTGAAACACTTTATTGCTTCTTTTACGTATTTTCGACCTTCTTTTCTTCAGTCGTTATGCAGAGATTGACACCGAGCAGTGTTCAATTTTTGTGTATTTATTATTTTCCGATTTATTTATTAAAACTTGGGCTAATAATTTTTAATTTTAAAATAGCTTCAAAAGTCGATGACTTGGACACTGAATCAAGCACAAATTCTTCAAATTTGAATTTTTGTAAGTTATCATTAAATTTGGTATTTAAATTTTAATTTAATTTACTATTTTATATTTTAATTTTACTATCTACTTGGCTATCATTTCTATAGAAAATAAAACTGCGCAAGATTTAGATCTATCCAGTTTTATAAACACTTTTGCCAATGCTAAAGCGGGAAAGAAAATTTTGTATTATAATATAGTTATTACTTTCTGTTCTGTAGTATTATACAGGGCGCGCCAGAACTCGAGCCCCACAGAAAATTTTCAAGTAAGGTAAGATACCAGGAACATGAAAAAAATGTTTAAAAAATTCGATCTGTCAAAAATGTTTGCCATCTATTTTTTGACATTTGACATTTTTTGTGTCTATTTAATGATACTGATGATCTTGTATATGTTTATTTATAATTATTTAGTAAAAGTACAAAAAAAAATATTTTAACATTTTTTCCATGTTCCTGGTATCTTACCTTACTTGAAAATTTTCTCATTTTTCTCTGGGGCGCGAGTTCTGGCGCATCCTGTATATCGAGCGATCAAGATAATTTGTAATCAAGTCATCGCTGCATCTGAGAACGTATTTTGAACTGTTTTTGAACTAACATCACGAGAAACGTCAAATAAAATGACCAGTCGTAAGGTAAAACGGTAAAATGGGCTGCAATTAGTCGCCGACGTATAATAATACAAGTAGGACCGTTCCATTTTGAAGGTAAATTATAAATTTAGTTATTATAATCATCACCTTTTTGATCATGCCATTTTACCTTTCGACTTGCCATTTTACTTGACATTTTACAGACATACGTTTTCGGATCCAAAGACGACTAGATTACAAATTATCTTGATCGTTCGATGTAAGAAAGTTATTATTTTCTGTTCTTGGGTAATTAATAATATTAGTTTATATACCTATGCATTTTATTTCTGCATATAATCCTCAAGGATAAGAAGGGCCCCCCGCCTATGTTTGAACCCAGGCCCGTGAATGTCTCACTACGCCACTGAGCAGAGGCTAGAGACGAGGAAGGAATCGCATACGTAGGATTTGTATATAGCGTTGCATATCTTACCTTACCGGTAAGGGTAAGAAAAATATCTATATATCTACTTACCTCTATAAAACCAATAGTTTATTGCACTGCTTTAGTTAATTTATTCAGCAAATCTCTTAATGTTCTAATACCTATTCCTTTAGCTTAGGACAATGAATATCAAACATGTTCAACTGGGCTCGTAAACCTTTGCTAAATTCTATTTATTCAACTCTTTAAATCCATATAATTGTGCCAGTTTAGTCAATTTCAAAACTAGAAGAAGCCTGATGAAGTGAGACCAGAGACGGCGTTAAAGTTTATTTAATAAAGTTTCCAGTTAGTTTATTCCAATATACTTAAATTTGGATAGTGAGTATTGAAAGTAGGTACTAAAATCAAATGGAGCAGCTTTTATTAACATCGTATTTGAAAATAAATCATATTCCTATGTAATCGCTTTTTTTAAGTGATGATTAAAAATCGATGTCGACCCAACCGGGATAAAATAAAAAGACCAAATTTGGACTAGGGCTAGTTTGGGTACGCTGGTCGCTGGTGTAATAAACAAAGTATAGTTTTGAATATAGTTTTAAAAACAGGGTAAAATCTTTCAAATATTTGTTTTTTAAAGATACTTTAGAAGGGGCCCTCGTAATAGTATTTTTAACGCGATATTAAAACAGGAATATATACAGGCTGTCCCAGCGAGTTGGCAAAGTCCAATATAGATCTTTAAATTATAACATTAAAAAAATGTATGTAGGAAATTGATAGATACTAATCTAGTGCATTATAGCTTGTTCCAAATCTGGTGGCGAACTGACGTTGTCAAAAATGACTGAATTTTGACACTAAACATATGTTTACTATTAAAAAAATATTGTTCATAAGCGTCATATGAAATAATATTTCAAATTCTTCTTTAAAAAATTATAATAAGTAGGTACTCGTACATAAGATGAAGAATGATGAACAAATTATTAAATTGTTAACGCATGAAAAGAATTTTGAAAAATGATATTTATAACAATCCTTGTCTTCAAAATTTTGTATTTTTTATCTTAACCAAGTGGGCGCACTAAAAGTGTTTTTTCTGTCACTGTCAGTTCGCCACCAGATATGGAATAAGCTCTACCTAAAATTATTTTCATACAGCATGTCCCAAAACAAGTTACGTTACAAAGTTGTGTTTTTTTAAATGAAACACTGTATGTTTCTTGTCATTTTTGAATGTAGCCTTTTAAAACAATGTTTTTACGCTAAACTTTTATTAGTCGATTGCGCTTAGTTTTAGAAATAAGACGGTTTTTTGACGAAAACACGCACTTTTAAAAAATTTATTACACAATAACTAAGACAGCTAGAACAATTTTTGTCTTACTTCTGCAAAGAAGAAAGTACAGAACTTAAAGCTGTAACAATTTTTTAGTGTTTTGCATCTGAAAAAATTAAAATATTAAGAAGTTTGTTAAAAGTTATATAACTTAAAAAAAAATAATGGAACACCCTATTTCTTATTTTTGCATCTAATAGATTGATAAATTGTCTTTCTAAAAAAATAAACTTTTCATGTCTAGAATTGATAAATGAAAAGATATTTAACATTCAATATTAATTGTAGCAACAATGCCTATCCATATATGAGCATTGTTGATATTATGGCAACCATAGTAATGCCATCACGGATGACTTATTCGTTGATTTATCCGGAGATTATAAAAGTCGACATAAATACTGAAATTCGAATTATTTTATTGTAAAAATAAAGAATAATGGATTGAGTTTAACACAAATGTGGTTATTAAGTGATATTTCTTCCATGTCTTGTGCAACTGTGTACTTGTCATAAAAATCTACATCCAAAAACGCTAAGAAATATGGTGTTTCATATAAAATAAACACAAGTTTGTATTGTAAGTTATTTTTGGGACACGCTGTATAGTGGAAAATAATTTTAGGCGATGGACTAGATTAGTATCCATCAATGTCCTATTTAAATTTACCATTTAAAGGTCACTAATGGACTTTACCAACTTGCTGAAACAGCCTGTACCTATAGTTATTCCTTTTAATTATCGTTTCTACGATTAGAACCCTATTTACGTTGGTTAAAATAACAAATAAATAAAATTCACACATAAAATTTTAATTACAACTCCAAATGTAACTTTACAAACACTTAACGCAAATTTTTTAAATATTTTTCCTCATGTTGAGAATTATAGCAGAGTATATTTGTACGCTGTTGTACAAAATCGTACTTGAATAAAAGTAAAAGTTCTCGTAAACTTAACAAAACAAACAAGAAAACGGCAGTATAAAACCTAATTTATGCCACTGATAATATTTTTCAAACACCGTTAAAGTAATTTGATGATGTTTACATTTGCGCACATGACCTCACAATAGCGAAATAATTGTAACATTCGTCATTGAATTCTTCTAAAAATAGTAACAAATTTCTAATTTTTACAGTTTTTTTGAATTCGTGACTGTCATATAAAGCATAGTCGTGCCCAGGGAGTGTCATAATTTTGCCCACTAAAAAAATTAAATAAGTCATCTCAAACTAATTTTTTATTGACTTCCGCTTCATACATAATTATTTTGAATATCTGAAATAACTCTACTCTTTTAAAATAAATTAAAATTTTAATCTTACGGGCTGGATCACTCCAATATCACTATTAAAAGTGACGTAAATATCAATATTCAAAATAGATACAAGTGATTAAAAAATGCGTAACGGATGCCTCAAACTGGAATAGACTTTTTAATGCTTTCGAATGTTTTAATTAATTTTCAACTGATAGTTTTCGTTGATTCGTTTATTATATTTTCGTGTCGGGTTTTTTTACAGCATTGTAATTAATTATTGTAAAGTTAGAGTTGTGCCACTGATTGGAGATCTAACGAATGATTTTATTGAAATAGATAGGCTTGATACAATAACTTAACAAATCAAACGTTTCGTTTAGTAATTTAATTTTATAGTTTAATGCGGTGATCAGCTATCTTTATAGTTTATGCATTCCTTAATTCGGGTTTATAGGAATTCCGATACTAAAATAATAAAATCGAATATTGAGAAGGCGACAGTTTTATTCGATTAGTGGTCCAATTTAGATCATAAAGAGAAATAAATATTTTTAGGTCTACAATAATTTATACGGATCATATTAGAACTATGAATTTGGCTTGATTAAGTCACGAGACAAAATTTGAATCAAGAAATCCTTATGAATTTTCAAAAATTAAAAAACAATCTGACAGGTTAAAAATTCTCCACTTACAAGTAATGCACCATTTATTAGAATTTGGTTTTTATTGTGATAAAATTCTTCAGCAGACCTTTTCCGACTAAAAACAAAAGTAGGTATTTTTCGGGATTTTTCTGTTGTCAGTGTGTTAGTTTTACAAGGTGTCTTCTATATGAATATGAAGACCTTCTTGGCTTTATCGGTAGGGTTCAATTTTATTTTTTTTACACAGAATTCAAAAGTTTGCAACTTGTTTCACCTCAAAAACGCAGTTGCGAAGTCGCCAGTGTGGCAATAGCAAAGTCTGGAGGTATGTACATACCTCCACGAGGAATAATGAGCCTGACTAAATTGTCGATGCAACCAACATTACATTTGTCGCAAAGCAACATTCGAAAAGTAATGGTGGTTGCCTCGAGAATTTGGTCAAGCTCATTATTCCTCGTGAATCACCTTGCATATATTCGTAGGCTGTTTCGGAACTCGCACCACATGTCATGCCATGAAAAACGTCAGGAACATAGAAAAAATTCTATGTAAAAATTTTGAAATCATGGGAGCTTAAAACTTGCACCTTGACTATTTATTTCTGTTCCAAACATAATTTTCCATGTTTTTGTTTGCTGCGGGCTGTTAGAAGAGGAAACAAGAAAGCTGTATTCTAGATTGTAACTATTTGTTTTAGGTTATTTGTATATTTTATTGGCAAAATTTGTGTACCGTTATTAAATAATTATAAAAACCGTATACAAGATTATCAGTAACATTAAATAGACATAAAAAATGACAAATGTCAAAAAATAAATATTAAAATTTTTTGACAGATAAATTTTTTTTAACATTTTTTTCATGTTCCTGCTATCTTATCTTACTTGGAATTTTACTCTGGGGTGCGAGTTCTGAAACACCTGTGTATTATTTTTCTTGAGTATCGCGTCATAAACAAAGAATTTTTTCAATTACGTTAATTGTTAATTGCACATTTGCAATGTCTTTATAACTTTCTTCATTGTTTACAAGAATTCACTTTTATACAATTAAAATAAAAAGTGTTTACGATTTTTTATGACTCCTAAAGGACTTTGATGATTCTAATTTAATTTTTTCATGCCTTCACTTAACTTAAAAGTACTTAAAGAATTTACTATTTTTGCTACAATACAAATCCAAGTTAAGACCAATGTTGCAACAGTGGTCTTTGCATTGAAACCAAAACTAAAACCAAATAATTGTCCACACTCTCCAACTTATTTTTTCATCAGTAACCGTTCTGTTACTCCTAAATAATTCAAATGAGTCTCAACCTGGCCATCAGTGTCCGCAAATGGCGAATTTCCCCTTTCCATCCTCTGAATCTTCTAACAAAAGCTCATTGTTGCACTTGGAACGAAGCGAAAAGCTAAACTTTGGGCACATGTCGAAACGAAATCTGATTGGTTATCCGGCAAAGTCTCCTCAATGCTTCACAACACGCGTTTAGTTCCTTTTCGCTCTTCGCGTTGTAAAGCAGTCCGCGGTGGTCGAAATTTCACACGTGACAGGACTCGGCCAGGACGAAATCCTGGCGATGTGGCGGCGGTGAAGTGACAGATATGTGATTCGGGCCAGGATGCGCTTTCCTGCTGGGATCCTCAGGTCAGTCGATTTTCAGCAGGAAATTTTTAATTTAAAAAGTGTCACGTTTACGTGGGTGACAACGTGCGCAATTTAACAATATTTGATAAACAGTTACGTTCATTCAAATTCTGAAGTGAATGGGTCGGAGAAAAATTAATTAGTGTGATAATTGTTATTAGTGTTGTTAAGTCGGCACGAACAACGAATTTTCATTAATCAAAATTTCGTCAAACGATTATTAAGTTTGATCACAGGGAATTTAATTTGACACAATTTTTTTCTTTTAGATTTATTTATTTAAAGTCTAATAAAGGTTTTTAACATATCTTTGTGATCCTTTGATATTGTTGTTTGGCTGTCTACTTGGTATTCAATTATGTGTTTATATATAATAAAAAATTTGACAAAGGCTCTTTATATTTGATGAATTATGAGCTTAGAAAACATCTTTTGTATTTTAGGATATATGTACTTTTTTATTACGCAATATGACGATTTATTGTCACCACGAAAGATATTAAAGTCTAAAATAAATCATTTTTTAATTGGAATATTAAAAGTAGGACATTTATTATAATTCCTCAAATGTGTTATTTTTCAGTAAAAAGTAGTTGGTAGATATGTTATTCTTCTTTTAGTAACATATGACTTATTAACAAGTTAACAACCTGTTTGTTCATAAACTATTTTAATGAAAAATATACGAACCTATTTGGTTTATGTTTTTTGTTTTGATTTTAGCGTTTTCAAATTCTTAGCTGTTGACGATTTTGGTGATCAAAGCCTTTTTTTGATTTTGGCAGTAAGTCTAATCAGAATCAATATTTAGTAGCGGGGACAAAGAAGCGGTTAATATTTTTTTCCAGCTGTAGACCTCTACATGTTCCCTTTAAGCGGATTTTTGAAGAATTTTGTTTTTTTTTTATAAAAATTTTAATAAAATTAAACAGAGAAAAAAAACAGAAATAACATTTTCAAAGCTACTTTAATATTTCAGTTTTCTCTTATTGTTATTAGTTTTTTATTGTTTTTTTCATTTTCGCCATCCACCTGGTGGTGTAATTTTTGAGAAACATTAGTAAATGCTTTACTTTTTCAGATTTTTAAATTATAATTAGTAACTTAATATTATACAAAATTTTGATTTTATTAAATAACAAAGTCGTTAACAAAACTTATTTTGTGAAATATTTGAAGATTACATAAATAAAAAAGTACATACTTCAAAAAACATGCTTTCATTTTAATTTGTTCCAATACGAAAAACTACCTCGAAATTCTCGTCTACAGGCCTCATCACGTCCAAAATTTATTAAGCATCCGGCATTAGTGTCTATTTATTTGACAGCACCCAGAATGAATTTTTCCACACCGTGCTTTATCGGCATTCTTATGAGCTTAAAAATATTTTCATTCTAATATAAATAAACATCGATGGTCACTTCTTTATTTATTACTGTTGCATGTGGAATACATAATACCACCTTAACAAAAATGAAACATCGTGCCCCGTAATTGAACATTGACGGCGTTCGTGTGGCACTACAATTTCCTAGTTTTCAGAGAACTTGTAACGTATAATTTTACTCAACAAGACCTTAAAGTTGTTTTTATTATGCGTTTAGTGACGATAAAGCGAAATAACTTTGTTTTTCCAGTCGGAAAATCACATTTTCGAGATTGTTTCGCTTGGATGGGAATCATTTACGCGCTTTCATGGTGCCATCTTCAAGTCGATAATTAGAGGATAAAAAAGCTTACTTTTTCTCCCTATTGTTGTCAGAGAATCGATAAATCATGCAATGATACGATAATAAGAGAGTGTCAAATCGAGTGGCCACACATAAATCTTCAAAGGGACGAGGTGCTAATGTGTTTTGACTCGAACTAATTAATATAACTTTTCAGTGAGGCATTGTTAGTTCGTATCAATTAATTTGAAATTATAATTTCGAACCAGACGGCCATTAAAAGTATCATAACCACTGTTATTATCGTATCAAATTTATTACTCGAACAATAAAGTACTAAAAATGGTAACACATGTGCTAAATCTCTCTGGAACATTCATTTGAATAACGAAGCGAAATTGACAATAATGGGATTTATGGGCGAAAAGAAAAATACTGAAAGCAAGTGTGGATTAGATAAATAATTCCAGAATAGAATAACTCGAATTCTTTATTTAAAAAATCAAGGATATGGAGACAGGTGAGCTATGTTAGTAATTCATGTTTTACATTTGTTACCAATAAAACAGAATCAATTTGGAACGATTTTAGAATTATTGGGACAGATGGAACCAATTAAAAATAAAATTCTCACAGTTTTGTTCTTTTTCGAAATTTATAGCCGCTTAAACTTCACTTTTCGATGTTTTTTCCGAATGTAATCATAATTTAAGCTGCCGCAAGGTCTTTAATCTATTTTACTTGTAATTTTACAGCTTTTCATTTGGCTTTATTGCTATTTTATAGCATACAAGTAAATTTTATTAATGCAATGATTGCTTTTGACTTGAAGGTGTCTGGCAGATTTATTAAATGCATTTTTTCTGCTCACGTGATAAACAGCAAACATTTTTGACTTTGAAATAGTTGCTATTGAGTTTAACGATTCATGTACACAGTGCTTCAGAAGTAATGTCTCAAACTCGGCTCTCAAGCGGGCACGTTCGACCGTTTTCAGATGGGATGGAGCCGATGGTCGGCAGTTGTCGGTTTTCCGGCATTGGGATGGGTCGATGGAGAGTTGACGAAAATTGATAAATCGTTTGCTCAAATTATTAAGAATTTTGACTATGAGTTATCACTTATCGCATTTGACTTGTTTTGAAAGGAATACTCGTAAAATAATATTTGAAACGTTTCTTTAAAATTAAAAATTGATCTGATTCATGGTTTTGATGTCCAAAGTCACCATTTCACAAAATAATTAATTTATTGTTTTATTTACTAATAAATTTATTAATTAATGTAGAAGTTAAGGGTTGTTTACTATTTATCAACAATAAAGGATTTTATGTGATTTTGGTGACATTTTTCACAGAAATCGAGTTGTGGCTTCATTTTCAATCAAATAAAATTTTTACACCAATTCCTAATATTCCAAGTCAACGAGTGCGGTTTAAATTTATAGGGTGGCTCTAATTATGCCGCCGAGTTGGGTTTATCCCAGGCAAAAATTTGTCCTTAAGGGTGTTATTTGCCTGCAACCTTTTTGCCCTGTGTATTAGAATCCCGATAATAAACATAAAATGTCTTGGGCAAATAACACCCTCAACGACATATTTTTGCCTGGAATATATTCAAATCAGTGTTAATTTTCAATTCTTTACCTAAATCCGCCTTTATGTAAAGAATTAACAAGTTTTTACTTATTTCAAAAGCTATCGATTAAAATCAAAAAATGGGAATGTTCAGCTTTACTACTTTATCATTTGTCATTTTTTACTGAATGAAAACGGATGACCTGCGGGCACATTGTCAACGTTTTCTAAGAAAAAATTATTTTATTCCTCTCAAAACAAGTCAAATGCGATAAGTAATTACACATAGTCAAAATTCTTAATAATTTGAGCAAACGATTTATCAATTTTCGTCAACTCTCCATCGACCCATCCCAATGCCGAAAAACCGACAACTGCCGACCATCGGCTCCATCCCATCTGAAAACGGACGAACGTGCCTGCTCGAGAGCCGAGTTTTGTGACATTACTTCTGAAGCACTGTGTACTTTTTTTAATTCGTTTGTAAATAAAGTTTTTTGCAAAAATTAGATTTTTGGCTATGTTGACGCAGACTACATAGGGAAATCACACACTTTCTCCCTTTTTGATACGTAATGTGATACCTGTTTTAAGATTATTTGGATTTCCAGGAAGGAAATTTGTGTTCTACTCTGCCCAAGCTTATATTCAGCCCTAATGTTTGTAGTTATAATAAGTTCACTCTTATTTCACGAGCAGAAATGACCCACTTTCTTACCTGTTTATACAAACGGCATATTTTCGCGAAAATAAAACCGTGCTGCGTCTCGAATTAAAATCAACAAACCGCAAGTTTTAACCCTCTTGAGAATTTTCAACTCTCGTTAAACACTTCCTCGCTTTATTTTTAGTTCGTACGTCATTCGAAATGAATATTCGATTGAAATCAATGCAAGGAGAAGAGAGACCAAACCGTGGACACGGAATTTCTTATCACTGTCGATAATAATTCCACAATTCGTCGATTACGTAATTGCGTTGGCATTGATGTTGTAGCAAAAGACGTCCAATTTTAACTTTTGTGGGTCATAAAAGAATGGAGGAATTTTTCTGAATGAAACAACGAGGAATGGGTCGTATTTCAAATGTACGTTTCGTGACGTGAATTTATTCACTGTTTACAAAGTACCGGAAAAACGGCGCAGCTGTGGATATAATGCACAAAGGTGTTTGTGAAATTTGACAATTTTGATACACGCTTTTTTGAAGACGCGTGGGTCGTTAAACGAACGATTTAACGGGTTTTTAAGTGTTCAGATTTGAATTTCCAGCACCCTTGTTTCCGGTTTTGGGAACATTTGTGGACTTGCGGGGCCGTAATTAACCCATCAAGAACTAATTGTTGGTAAAATTGTAATCTGAGACGTGAGAATCTGACATTCTTTGGCTGAGTCATAGGTATCAAGTTCAAAATCTCAGGAAATTTGTTACCTCCGACCTAATTTTATTCTCTTACGTCAATAAAATATTAAATTTTGTTTTAAATAGCGATAAATTTCTTGGACTCTTATTTTAGGAATTACATAATAGCAAAGTTGTAAAAGTATTGATTGTGATAGGAAATGCGCTTCAATTGAATATGATTCGCCTTTTAATGTTGTCATTAAAGATAATAAAAATATTTTAATGCGTTGTTTTGTAATGGTGAGATAACCTTTTCATCTGGACTAATATTTTATATGAAATTTATGTCTCAGTGGCTTAAACTAATTTCAGTTAACTAAAACTTTTGGTCTAGAAATCAAAAATA